CAGATTTCGGGCAATTTTTTCGAAATGCCATTTTCTTCTGATTTTGGAGGCTGGAGATCACGGAATCAGGCCGAGCCTACATCCTACGATAATGAAGTCTATTGATACTATTCTCCACGGATGATAAGTCCATTAAGCACCGATTTGGGCCGATTTATTTTCGGATGGCATTTTCGTAACATCACAGATTCCAATGGGGTAACATCACAGATTTTGAGCGATTTTTCCGAAAGGCCATTTTCTTTGGATTTTGGAGGCCTTTCGTCAACAAACAATATTACGAAAATGCCATCCGAAAATAAATCGTCCCAAATCGGTGCTTAATGGACTTATCATCCGTGGAGAATAGTATCAATAGACTTCATTATCGTAGGATGTAGGCTCGGCCTGATTCCGTGATCTGCAGCCTCCAAAATCGGAAGAAAATGGCATTTCGAAAAAATTGCCCGAAATCTGTGATGGTACCCCTTTGGAATCTGCCAAAAATGGGCCCGGAATAAATTCGCCCAAATCGACACTAAATGGACTTAATCATCGTTGATGAATAGCCTCAGGTCGAATCAGTGATCTGTAGCCATCAAAATCCAGAGAAAATGGCCTTTTGTCGCCAAAAAAATTACGAAAATGCCATTCTAAAATAGATTGGCGCAAATCTGTGCTTAATGGACTTATCATCCGTAGAAAATAGAATCAATAGACTTCATTATCGGTGGAGAATAGCATCGGCCTGATTCCGTGATCTGCAGCGTCCAGAATCGACAGAAAATGGCATTTCGTAAAAATCGCCCGAAATCTGTGATGGTACCCCTTTGGAATCTGCCAAAAATTGACCCGAAATAAATCCGCCCAAATCGGCGCTTAATTGACTTAACCATCGTTGAAGAATAGGCTCATGGCGAATCCGTGATCTGTAGCCTTTAAAATCCAAACAAAATGGCATTTCGTCGCCCATAAAATTACGAAAATGCCATCCTAAAATATATTGGCTCAAATCTGTGCTTAATGGACTTATCATTTGTGGAGATTAGGATCAATAGACTTCATTATCGGTGGAGAATAGCCTCGGCCTGATTCCGTGATCTGCAGCCTCCAGAATCGAAAGAAAAAGGCATTTCGGAAAAATCGCTCAAAATCTGTGATGTTACCCCATTGGAATCTGCTAAAACTGACCCGGAATAAATCCGCCCCCAAATCGTCGCATAATGAAATTAAGCATCGTTGAAGAATTGCTTCAGGCTGAATCCGTGATCTATAGCCTTCCAAATCCAAAGAAAATGGCCTTTCGTCGCCCAAAAAATTACGAAAATGTCATTCGAAAATGAATTGGTCCAAAACGGTGCTTAATGGACTTATTATCCATGGAGAATAGGATAAATAGAGTTCATTATCGGTGGAGAATAGCCTCGGCCTGATTCCGTGATCTGCAGCCTCCTGAATCGAAAGAAACAGACATTTCGGAAAAATCGCCCGAAATCTGTGATGGTACCCCTTTTGAATCTGCCAAAAATTGATCCGGAATAAATCCGCCCAAACCGGCGGTTAATGGACTTAATCATCGTTGAAGAATAGCCTCAGGCCGAATCTGTGATCAGTAGCCTTCAAAATCAAAAGAAAATGGCCTTTCGTCGCCAAAAAATTACGAAAATGCCATCCGCAAATAAATTGGCCCAAATCGGTGCTTAATGGACATATCATTTGTGGAGAATAGGATCAATAGACTTCATTATCGGTGGAGAATAGACTCGACCTGATTTCGTGATCTGCAGCCTCCAAAATCCAAAGAGAAAGGCATTTCGGAAAAATCGCTCGAAATCTGTGATGTTACCCCATTGGAATCTGCCAAACTAACCCGGAATAAATCCGCCCCCAAATTGGCGCTTAATGAAATTAAGCATCGTTGAAGAATTGCTTCAGGCTGAATCCGTGATCTATAGCCTTCCTAATCCAAAGAAAATGGCCTTTCATCGCCCAAAAAATTACGAAAATGTCATTCGAAAATGAATTGGCCCAAAATGGTGCTTAATGGACTTATTATCCATGGAGAATAGGATAAATAGACTTCATTATCGGTGGAGAATAGCCTCGGCCTGATTCCGTGATCTGCAGCCTCCTGAATCGAAAGAAACAGACATTTCGGAAAAATCGCTCGAAATCTGTGATGGTACCCCTTTTGAATATGCCAAAAATTGATCCGGAATAAATCCGCCCAAACTGGCGGTTAATGGACTTAATCATCGTTGAAGAATAGCCTCAGGCCGAATCTGTGATATGTAGCCTTCAAAAGCCAAAGAAAATGGAATTTCCTCGCCCAAAAAATTACGAAAATGTCATCCTTAAATAAATTGGCCAAAATCTGTGCTTAATGGACTTATCATTTGTGTAGAATAGGATCAATAGACTTCATTATCAGTGGAGAATACCCTCGGCCTGATTCCGTGATCTGCAGCCTCCATAATCGAAAGAAAATGGCATTTAGAAAAAATTGCCCGAAATCAGTGATGGTACCCCATTGGAATCTTCCAAAAATTGACCCGGAATAAATCCGCCCAAAGCGGCGCTTAATGCACTTAATCATCGTTGAAGAATATCCTCATGCCGATTTCGGGATATGTAGCCTTCAAAATCCAAAGAAAATGGCCTTTCGTCGCCAAAAAATTACGAAAATGTCATCCGGAAATAAATTAGCCCAAATCGGGGCTTAATAGACTTATCATCCATGGAGAATAGGATCAATAGACTTCATTATCGGTGGAGAATAGCCTACGCCGGATTCCGTGATCTGCAGCCTCTAGAATCGAAAGAAAATGGCATTTCGGAGAAAATCGCCTGAAATATGTGATGGTACCCCTTTGGAATCTACCAAAAATTGACCCGGAATAAATCCGCCCAAATCGGCGCTTAATGGACTTAATCATCGTTGAAGACTAGCCTCAGGCCGAATCCGTGATCAGTAGCCTTCAAAATCCAAAGAAAATGGCCTTTCGTCGGCCAAAAAATTACGAAAATGCCATCCGCAAATAAATTGGCCCAAATCGGTGCTTAATGGACTTATCATTTGTGGAGAATAGGATCAATAGACTTCATTATCGGTGGAGAATAGACTCGACCTGATTTCGTGATCTGCAGCCTCCAGAATCGAAAGAAAAAGGCATTTCGGAAAAATCGCTCGAAATCTGTGATGGTACCCCTTTGGAATTTGCCAAAAATTGACCCGGAATAAATCCGCACAAATTGGCTCTAAATGGACTTAGTCATCGTTGAAGAATAGCCTCAGGCAGAATCCGTGATCTGTAGCCTTCAAAATCCAAAGAAAACGACCTTTCGTTCACCAAAAAATTACGAAAATGCCATCCGAATATAAATTGACCCAAAGCAGTGCTTAATGGACTTATCATTCGTGGAGAATAGGATCAATAGACTTCATTATCGGTGGAGAATAGCCTTGGCCTAATTCCGTGATCTGCAGCCTCCAAAATCGAAAGAAACTGACATTTCGGAAAAATCGCCTGAAATCAGTGATGGTACCCCTTTGGAATCTGCCAAAAATTGACCCGGATTAAATCCGCCCAAATCGGCGCTTAGTGGACTTAATCATCGTTGAAGAATAGCCTCAGGCCGAATCCATGATCTGTAGCCTTCAAAATCCTAAGAAAATGGCCTTTCGTCGGCCAAAAAATTACGAAAATGCCATCCGCAAATAAATTGGTCCAAATCGGTGCTTAATGGACTTATCATTTGTGGAGAATAGACTCGACCAGATTTCGTGATATGCAGCCTCCAGAATCCAAAGAAAAAGGCATTTTGGAAAAATCGCTCGAAATCTGTAATGTTACCCCATTGGAATCTGCCAAAATTCCAACTTGGTCTCCCTGTACTGTAATTTATTCTTTTGCCTCCTTGCCTTCATGTCCCCTCCACCGGCCTGTGCCTGTTAATGTAACCATCTTCTCCTTTGACTTTTCAGTCCCCTTTGGCATTGAGCTATAATCATTCACTAACAAATCTGGTTAGTTTCTTCTTTAGCCATTAAATAAGTTTCTGTTCATCTCCATTCCACACACTTATGTCCAAATCCTCAAACTATTGCCTCACTCCTCGCATCCGTTTTCACACCCTTCCATGGAGGCCATAGACACCGCAATCCCCTCTTGCACCATCGACGACTTCACCTTCCTCGACCACAACCTCGCCATTCGACAATTCTGCCCCGCTCGCCTCCAGCAACATCATCAGGAACAACGAGAATCACCCGGCTCTCATTTTGAAGCCAATATCACCTATAACATGGAAGAAGAAGAAGAAGAAGAAGAAGAAGGATTTCTCTCAATGATGTGGGAGGAAGACCACCACGGCTCTCACCACCATCACACAACCACAACCTCTACCACGACCACGACCATGACCACCAGCCTTAGCTCTGGCAACCCTGAGGTGGATGACTAGCTTCATCAGTGAGTTAGATCGAGATCATGACCTAGAGATGGAGGGTTGCTCCTCTTTCGAGGACCTACTAGCACTTCCCTACCAGCAAGGACAATTAAGAACAAGCACAAGATCCGTTGGTTGTAGCAACAACGATGAGTTCCCCTTATCATCAGGATCAGGATCAGGGTGACGAGCCAGTGGATCAAGGTCTTCAGTTGGTCCACTTGCTACTTGCCTGCGCCGAGGCAGTTGGCTGCCGCGACACTCACCTAACCCAATCCTTGCTCTCCCAAATCTGGGGATCGGCAAATCCATGGGGAGACTCCTTACACCGAGTCTCCCACTGCTTTGCCACGGGACTCCAGTCCCGTTTGTCCCTCCTCCTCCACAATGTAAACGCCAATGGCACCTTCGCCAACGACGCATCACCGGCCACCGTAGATGAGAGAATCGAGAACCACAATGGTCCCGCTTTGCTTACCGTCGTCGAGCAAGACGCGAACCACAATGGGCCCTTCTTTCTGGGGAGGTTCCTGGAGGCGAGTTTGCAGCGGAACAGCGTGCAGAGGGTGAGGATGGAGAAGTACCATTTCGCGGAAGAGATTAAGAACATTGTGGCCTATGAGGGTTCGGATCGCGTCGAGAGGCACGAGCGGGCCGATCAGTGGCCAAGGCAGCTGGGGAGAGCTGGGTTCCAGGCGGTGGGGTTCGTTCAAGTGTATGAGTCAAGCGAGGATGATGCTCTCGGTTTACGGGTGCGATGGGTATACTCTGGCCTGGCGAGCGAGAAAGGTTTCTTGCTTTTGGGTTGGAAAGGTAGCCCGATTATGCTGGCTTCAGCTTGGCAAGTTCATCCTCATACTGCTTCTTCAGCTGGTTCTTCCTTCGTTCGGGTCTCTGTCATGTCGAAAAACTGAAAATTCTTTCTTTCTTCGTATGTTAGGATGATTTATTGTATGGGTAATGCAATAAGATCGGACTTGCCCTTGTTTTCAGGACCCTGTTTTTATGTTCTGAGCATTGTCGAAAGTTTACAAATGGAGGTATGAATGAATGATGAATATCTTGAATCAACAACTCATTTGAGTATCTAATGAAAATGAAGTTCGTAGTGACAATCAGCCTAAACCAAATATCTTGAATCAACCACTGATGCGAGTTTGCTGCATTATTGCTTTCAGAAGTTGGACTAAATAGAAATGAACTGGTTGCATTTTTCTAGACAAATTCTGGAGGTCAGGGAGAACATCCTATTCCATTTTAAAAACATCAATGGAAGAAGCCCTGTCCTCCCTCTTTTACTCTTCCATTACCAGACTATCAAACTCAAAATCAATCACCTTACCATAACAGCTAAAATAATAAAGTAGGGGGAACCTTTTTTTTCTTGAAAGTGGAGTACACAGTAAATGGGACATGCCCATTTACTTTGGTGGTTTGTGACCACCATGTGGTCCATGTCCTTTACTTTGGCTAGCAGCTGCAGCTGACATTGTTCTCAACTGCCCAGCAATCTCAGTGAAGTTGGGCCTTGCTGCAGGATTTGGTGCCCAACACAGCTCCATCAACCTCCTCCATTCTGGATCGCAGAAGCTCGGGATCGTTGGCCTTAGAGTGTTGTTCACAATTCCTCCTGCATCATCACCAAATCATTCACACCAGATCTAAACCAGCTGTTGTTCAAATCCCAGTTCATATCACTATTCTTATTTCATTCGCACGTGAGGGTATTTAATATTCATGGTTATACTATAGGACACTAAAATGTAAAGGGTTCACGATTCCATCTCAGGATTAGGATCCTCATAGTTTTTTGTTTTTTTTTTTTTTTTGTAAACTCTCGAGCTTGACAACAGCAAACGTATCACCAAATACTGAAACTACTCGACATGAATTATCATGGTTTGTAGAACGAAACCATACCTATGATCGCACCGTAATGCATGTTAGCATAGGGCTCTTCTCCAGTGAGTATCTCCCATAACACAATCCCAAAAGAGAACACATCAACCTGAGGAAAACATATATAGAGATATAATTAGACTTCCTACAAAAAGGTAATCAAAGCTCAATGAAAAAGTTTGTTTACCTTTTCGGAGACCTTATTGCTGCCGCCGTTTAGCAGTTCAGGGGCCATCCACGGTAAAGTCCCTCGCACGCCTCCGGAGACCAAGGTGTTTCTTTTGATTTTCGAGAGTCCAAAGTCACCAACCTGGTTTCGTGCATTAATGTTAGAAAGCTTTACAAAATTCACTCAAGTTTTTAACGATTAGTCTTTTCTTCTTCAGCACTTACTTTGCAAATTGGTCGTTGTGGATCTTTCATATTGACTAGCAAGTTGTCACATTTGAGATCAAAATGCACAATGTTCTTTGAGTGTAGATACTCCATTCCAAATGCAGCATCCATAGCAATTAGAAGCCTCTTGCGTCGGTCTAGATGCCTACATGTTAAGATTCAGTGGGACATAAACAGACTTGATTCACAAAAATTATGATATCTACCCCTTAAAAAGAACGTACAACTATCTAACCTACTCAATCTCCTAATTTCCATAATCTAAAGAATGCCAAACTCCTTCAAACTAGATGAAAGTCAACTAACCTGTCCTTTCGGAGTAAAACATGCCTAAGAGACCCATCAACCATGTATTCGGTCACAGTAGCTAATGTTCCCCCGGGACCATCTTGAACGACGCCATAAAATGCCACCACATTTGGGTGATGCAGCTTCGAAAGAATTTCGGCTTCATGCCAGAACTCTAGAGTCTAACAACAACAACAACAATACAGAGACCGATATTGATATCAAGCATAAAAGTTCACGATAACCAGAGAAGAAGAATAATGGAATGATTCCTACAAATATTACCAGTCTTTGTTGCTCTGATGAGCGACCCGTGAAACAGGTTTTCTTCAGTCTCTTAATGGCAACATCACTCCCTCTCCATTTTCCATGGTAGACTGTCCCAAAAGTACCCGAACCAAGTTCTTTTAGTTCTTCTAGATCTTCATTCTTTATTATCTGAAATGTGAGTCCAGATAAAGATGAATTGATGCCAAGTTTTTTCCCCCACCATGAACCATTTTATCAAATTGCAATGTCAAAAGCATATATAGAGTTCTAGTATGAGTTTGAAGCAAACGAAAAGCAATAGCCCGATCTTGTTCCCTAACATACCAAAAGCGTAAAGAAGAAAACAGAAACTCAACTTGGTTTGCAGAAAACATTTTTATTAATAAACGCGGAAAAGATACCTGCAAAGAACTAAAATCGATATCCGCTAGAGAAGGGTTCACAGGAGGAAGACCGATATCCTTGTTTTCCAAATTCAGATCCTACAAAGCATCAGATGGAAACAAAACTCCAGTAAGCGAGCTGAGGAATGAGTTCCTTTTTTCAATTTTGTCCAATAAAAAGTACTTATATTCAATATGACAGAGAGGAAAAGTTACCTCGTATTCAGATTCAGGTTTTAGATTCTCAATCATGGCCTCAAACTGCATACTGTCAATTTCCTTCGCCTGGGGATGATCATAGTCCGATACATTATCAGAAGCTTCAGTGACCCTAGGTGGCAAATTACTCCGACTTTCTTCACCAAAATTAAGTTGGGAGTAATCTTGCCCAATTGAAACAACATCTGCTGTCAAAGGTGCAAACTGGCGAGACTCGATATTTTCCCCTTCAATTTTTGTTGATGGAGCAGGGAGATGGTCTTGGTCCATAAGGGAAACATCCGTCACAATAAATTCTTCTTGTGCCAACTTCTGGAAGTAAGACCACCGTCTAGGCTCACGATTCTCCATGTTCACACTCACACCACCAGCTCCATCTTTGTGCATTGGAGCAATGCCAGGGGTATTATTGGAAAACAACTCGGAAAGGAAATCCTGAGGGAATCTGTCATCAATATTGACCACAATATCCACTTGTTTGGCGTCTGTAACAGCCTCTTTGTTTTGCAACAGATCTTCAGAATCCTGAAGCCTACCATTTCCAGGCTCTTCTACGTGCAGGGTTTTCCCATCAGCATTGGAGTGTTCATCATGAGAAGTTTGATTACTTTGACCCAACTTTTCAACAGATTCTGCAACTGAATCATACTCGGGAATACCAGGACGTGAACGAGAACCAAGAATCTGTGGATCAAGGGAGTCATCAGATTTAGATAACCTACTGAACAAGCCCGATTGTTCCCTCGGTAGTCTCTCAGAAAAGTACACTCTTTGTGGAGGAATGGTTGACTCGAGATAACTCAAGTCAACAGGATCCGAAACAGAAGGACCACCAGCAGCAGCACTAGATGTTGGAAGACATTGAACATCTTCACCCCTAGCCTTGTTTTCCGGTTCCTGTGTCGCTCCCTCATTTCTGGAACTGACAGAATGTAAATTATTAGTCACTGCAGCCTGTGCTTCATCGGCAGGAGCAGGGTAAGAGGTTCTTTGCAGCAAGTCAGAGTCCTGCTGAATATAGCCATCAGGCTTCATATTCGCCTCATTTACTAGAACATGTGAGTTTGGCACTTGAAAGTTTCCATATGGCCATCCTTCATTCACCCCTCCTTGTGCATTAGGCAAGACTCCATAGAATGGCATTGGATAAGGAGTTTCTCCAAACTGAGAGTAATTAGATGAACCATTTCGATAGTGCAAAGGCATATGGCTTTCTCCATGATTCGCCATGTGAACAGGATAAAACTGAGGAGGAGCTTCATACTCAAGGGAAGAGCTTTGAATTACTGGCGTAGAAGATGTGATAGGTGGAACACTTCTATTAGCCTCCACGTCACCATTTAACCTATCCTGCTCGTCTAAATTATTCCCAGAAGAGCTCCCCAAGCCTTGCAAAGCTGAACCTTTTCTTGATCCAATGTCCATTCCATTTATAGCAACCACAAATTGAATCTCAGACTCACCTTCCGTGCTTCCTATCCCAAACTGAGACTCATCCAAATCACTCATGGAGAACAAGAACATCCTTAGCTTCTGAGACCCTTCTTTATCCTCAACCTCACTCCATTCCTCCATCATATTCTGCAGATCCTCGTCGCATGAAACGGAAACTAATGCATCAAGATCTTCACCAGGAAGTTGGTACTTTATCACATGAGCCTCGCTATAAACGGCCAAAGTTTTATGCCTCAGCTCTTGGAAAGAAACATCCCTACTTATGCGTATAATCCGTGTCTCACCTCCGACATACCTTAGCTTTCCATCACTAGGCCGGGGTAGGATTTTACCACCAAAGCTACAGAGGACTCTCATCTTGGTCAATGAACCAGAAGCCCCAGAAGATGGATAACCATTTAGAGTTCCTCTGCTATCATAGCCCGAATGAGACCGTGGTATCGACCGAACTGAACCATACATGCTTCTGTCTTCAAGTAAAGAAGAGTTTGCTCTCTCAAATTCTTTACCTTTCTCAACAATGGTGACCATAGATATATCGGATCCACTTTCTGATCCTGTATGACTTATGCCTAGAATGCCCTTCAGTTCCATATAACCTGTTGCATAGTTGGGCTCAGCACCGCTGTTTGGGAACAAAGAATTCTTGGGATTAACTCGGTCACGCATGAATTCCAGGGCGAATTCCTCCCCAGTCTGTATTGAGAAATTACGTACGGGTTTAACTTCAGACAGATTTTGGTCAGGGTGCAGTATCAAGTGTGGAAGTCCACTGATTGTAGAGTCCACGGTAAATGCTTGGGATGAAGGGTGGAAACCTTCCAGTCCATGTTCCCTGGGATCGTATTGGTGATGGACACCGGACTGCTCCATCACGATATTTGAGAATTCAGTCAACTAAATTCAGCTGTGCATACTGAGTGTCCACGGCATAAATGCCTAATCACAAAATTATGCAGCTGAGGTAGACAATAACAAACTCAATCGGGATCAAATCCAGTACTCCTTGACCGGCACAAAATTTTTCTAATACATCCTGTAAAAGCAACACGAAGTGAGGATTGAGAAGGTAAAGCAGATCCCACACAAACCAAAAAAGAACGCTTCATACTAAGTGCATACATTCATGTACAGCAAAAAGTCCACCAACTATATCTACAATAGAGTATTCCATCAAAAGGATCAAATTGCTAAAAAAAAACTAGCTTCTGCCCGTCAAAGCAAGCTACAGTTGGAACTCTGACATAGAATTCGCAGAAGAAAGCATGCAACCATAGTTGGAAGTTGGAACTTTTAAGAGCAATAAATTAGCAAAAGGTCAAACCAACTACAGCAATTACATAACTTTCTGGTTCTGGCTACTAATCTTCCATATATAAATCTTTATAGGTTTCAGTGAATCCTTCCACCATCTAACTCCAGCCCACTGAGATAGTTTTGGTAGGCAAGAGACTCTACCTAAAGGAAAAACATAGATGGCACATCTGATTTGTAATCTGCCTTATGTTTTGAACCTGGTTGCAGCTAGTAATACTGACCACTATCACACTTGTTATGTTCCAGACTACCATGGAAATCGATACTCTTCAAGAAATGAACGACCTTTAAACCCTACAAACATCTAAAGCAGCTGAATCATCAATAGAACTAGGAAAGATTACAAGCACAGGCATGCATCTTCTCCAAATGAAAGGATGAAGAAGAAAGAGCTAAGTTCAAATACTGTTTGGTTAAACCATGCCACTAGGAGCAAAAAACAATCTAGTGGAAATAAGATTGAAAACCAAGGCATCACTGATAGGCGAATCCCAGCAGCAGAAAATGAGTTAGGCTGCTGCAGATTTTGAAGCTCAGCAGCGATATCAGAAGGACGAAAACTAACAGCAAACCAACGAAGCTTGATTCAGAGTTAAAGAAAAGCAGCGAACTTTACACACAGACCAAAGAAAAATGCCTGCAAATCAGCAGATGGACAAGCTTGAATCGACGGAGTCTCTCAGATTTAGACAGAAAGGAATTGTGGGCAGTGGGTAGCTTACCTGGAGAATGGAAAATGGCAATTCGAGGAGGAGAAAAAGTAAGGTTCAGGGTTTCGAGAGGGGATTTGAGGGAGGCGGGTGAATGAAATTTTAGCAAATTACAGTTTGGGAGGAGGGATTGGGACGAAGACAATAAACAAGGTGGTGGTGGGTTCAAATCTTTCAAAACCATTCTTCCTTCCCCCTCTCGCTTTCCATCTTTATCATCGACGTTCCGCCCTCTCTCTCTCTCTCTCTCTCTCTCTGGCTCCCGTTGTTTATTTTGTCTTGTTTACTTCCCTTCCCACCTCCCATCGGCATTTTTGCTTATTCTTTTTTAGATCCACTAATCAATTTCCAGGGACGTATTATTTTAAATTAAAAAACGAACCCAATTTGTGCGAATAAAGAATTCTACTTTGTGTACCATTTACTTAGATTCAGCCTATAACATAATGGTCAGACCAGACCACACAAGAAGCCAAGAAGGGGAATTCGTAAGCCTTTCTTCCCGCCGCATTTTTATATTTACTCAGAATCAAATTATTACACTGTTAGCTTCGCAGATTGACTATGCTATGATTCCCCTGCCTATACTATACATAACCACAAAACAACCAAATACACACTAATAATTTACCAGTATGATTATGGACGATTGTGATTATGTGGTGATGAAATGGGTAAACGGGCAGATGGCATGTGAACAGCTTACACCTTACAGCAGAGAAAAGAAAAAAAAAAAGACTAATAATCAAGTACAAGTATAGTTAATGGGTTGAGGACTTGGAGGTTTTGTTTGCTTTATTGATTTTGCTTATTCTAGGGTTAATTGCTTGAACCTTAGCCGGGGGCAGAGGTAAACTTGAATCCCAATTAGCTTAGGCCACAAGGGATTCGATTGAACTTGGGATTTGCCATTTGGATTCCCTTTGGTCCATCCATTGCACCAAACTCAAATGATTTAATGTTTGAGACGTCAATGGATTGACAATCACACTATCTCAATCAAATTATAAACATAAATCTTTTGAACGAAAAATTATTTGTGTTTAGATGTAAATCGCAAGTCTCTTATTTTATTGAAAAGAAATATTGATTCACAACTGTATGATAAATGCATATGCATCATCGTTGCAATATATTTAGTGTTATGAGAGTTTAATAGCTAATTATAAATACTCTATTTTGAAAGTTTCGAGCAAATTTTTTCTAATTTAAGGATAAAGATTTAATAAATAGCATTTAGCTCCCATTCACCACATATATTTCGAAGAAACAACCCCTTGCACAATTATTTTTTTTTTAAACTGGGTTGGTGATGGTGGAGTCGTTCAACTCCAAGGGGTCGTTTGGATTAGGAATTTTAATAATGAGAGATTTGGATGTAAATCTCTCGTTTAAAAAACCTGGGAATTAACATGTGGGATTTGGGGCAAATAAGGCGTTTGGAAATAAATGAGAGTTTTTAGGTAGGAGCCAAAAAATACTAATTTGCCCTTTTTCGTTCCCCTATTCTTGCGTCCCTCTTACCCTTCCCCAGTTCAGATAGCGACGACGAGGTTTCCCGTCATCGGGCCGCAGGGAAATGCAAAGCCATCGATTTCAACGGCGGAACTAGATCCCTTATTCGTGGGTGTGCGAGTAGTGTTTTCGGCGGAATCTTCACCAACTCACCCCAGCGCCAGCGCCCCAATTGTCACTTCGCCAGAAAATCTAATCCTATGCGTCATCTGACGAACTTGGACGGAGAAGAAGAATATGCAGAATCGACGACGCAACCTCCAGATTCGACGACCCCTCTCAAGCAACGGCGGCGACGTTGTGGGTGATGGGGTTCCCGACGCGGATCTCACCGGCAGATTTCTTTTGGTTTCGTCGGAGGAGGAGAAGAAGGAGAATCGATCGAGAGGGAGGCGCCGATGAAGGAGGCAACGAGCTTTGAGAAAAGGAAGATATGATTTCGGGGTGGAAGGAAGAACGAGTGAAGGAGATGGACGAAGAGAGTGTCGGTGAAGGAAGAAGAAGAAAGAAAGGAGGAAAGAACGAAGGGAGGGTAGAGTTTGGAAAAGAGTAATAAAAAATGAGTGATTGTGAAATAGCTGATGTCTATCAGCTATTTCAAAAACCCACATATGAGAGATTTTAAAATCTCTAACGTCCACAATCTCTCGTGTTTCCAAACGCAGTATTGTTTTAAAATCCTGCAAAATGAGAGATTGTTTTAAAATCTCTCACAAATCTCTCATAACAATCATGCATCCAAACGACCCCTATAGTCATATGAATGCTGATGGACCATATTAAAGCTTTCTCAAAACTCAAAGCTTATCCTCTAGACTGAGGGTGGTAGCTAAGGAATGAAAGGGAGTTTACTTTGACTTGGAAATCATAATAATATTAAACATGATGATGGATGGTCGGCCCGGGAAAAAACATAAAGCTTATGCATTTGATTGTGCTGTTCTTGGTTCTTTGTTGTTGGTGGGTTGTAACAAAATTATAATTTGTGGCTGTGGCTGTGGCTTCCATGACCATTGCATTGCAGTCCTTCACATTTGTTGGTTCTGATTAAAGCAATGGAGTCGGTGCCTCCCTTCGCCTACAGATTAAGACTAATATTCACGTTTTAAATGGCAGTAGCTCTCTCTCTCTCTCTCTCTCAGTTCAACGAAGTTTGACCATTTTCTGTATCAACTTGCAATCTGCAACAAGCTTACAAACAAATTACAATGTGGTTATGTTATACTTCTGCTCCCTTTCAAGTTTCATCAATGACGTTTTCTCGTCTAATATAACTAACACCAACTGGTTCACAACGGGGCCCCAGTAAGACGTCATTTGCCTCAGCCCGCATCTTTGGCCCAAACCCGCTGCCATGGCCCAATAGAATAAAGGGAGTTGGTTACCTTGGCGCCGTCTGCCAGGAAATACAGCGCGGCAAAGAAACTGAAATGTCAGGATTGAGGCGCTGCTGCTACGGCTTCCCTGCTCGCCACTGCTTCGCTACTGTTCACAAAACCCTAATCAGTTATCGGTGCTACGATTCCAGGATTTTCCTTCCCACTACTGCATCGCTGTTGGATTCCCGCCTCCCCATTTCCGTTTCCGCGCCATTGGAGAAACGAAGCTTCTCCGCTCCCGCCGTCGATTATCCTCTTCCGGGTATTGCCTGCGTTGAGCCCAAGTTGCTATTTTTCTTTATATGAGTTTGTTTCTTTTCTGCACTGTTTAATCTTTGATACAGGAGTCGACGACGTTCTGGTTGGGTATTTGTTGGGGAAGAAGAAGGCAACTGAAGTGGCTCATTTGTAGGTAACTTCTCCTCTTTTTGCCAACCTTCCTTCTCTCCTTGTTTGTGATGACTCAGAATCGGTTGCGTCATAGGTGATTCAGGACTATGAGTAATGAATAATTGCCAGCATTTGCAACCATGCGGGTCTGTATTCGAGTCCCATGTTTAAGAACCTCTTTGTAATTGCGTCTAATCCATCTCTGGCTGAAGACTTCAGGGTATGAAGGCGTGTGGTTCAGCCAGGGGATACCGTGGTAGATGCCACTTGTGGAAACGTTCATAACACTCTAGAGATGGTTAAAATGGTTTCTGACGAATCGGGCAGAGGGCGTGTCTATGGACTGGACATTCAGAAGGATGCTTTGTACACTACTTCGTCTTTGCTTGATGAGAGTCTCAGTCCCAGGGAGGTGGGTACACTATTGTCTATTGATTCTTCAATTCGAGGGTTCGGAGACTGTCATTGAACTCTATGGAAATCTTGTAGTGACTTGTCACTGCTATAGCCAAATACAGCAACAGATTTTGGCTGCCATTTGTGCTGTTGTCTTTGAAGTTTTTGAACAAATAGAGAGAGCCATTGTTGTACCAAAAGCGTTCCTTTTATTACCAAATTTCTCTCTGTGTTCCCGTTGTTACGGTACATACCTAGTCCATGATTGCTTACTGATCCTCAAATAACATGCAGAGGGAACTTGTCAAGCCTTCCGGCATCTGCCACAGTAGAATGGAAGAAATTGTACCAGAAAATAGTCCAGTTAGGTAATAATCCGCTAGCATTATCAAAGCTTATCAACTGAAATGGGTTTGAGAAGGTTAACCTATCTTGTAAGCTTTTACTGCAGGCTTGTGGCATTCAACCTGGGCTATCTTCCAGGGGGCAACAAAGATATCATCACAGTTCCACAAACAACCCGGTTAGCCTTAGTTGTTTACATAGGGCATCCTGGTGGAAGGTAACTTTTCTCCATGCTACTGCTCCAAAATCAAGAACACTATTAACCCACCTGTGATTATCTCTGTTCTGTTTTGTTGGTTTTTGATTACTTGCAGGGAAGAATTGGAGGCTGTTGAAGGTTTTGCTTCAGGATTACCTGCTGATGAATGGAGCTGATGCAAGTTCCAGATGTTAAACAGGTCTTTAGCTCCTGTATTGGTTTTCTTGTTTAAGAGATGACTTGATGATCAAGCTGTTATTCTGCAATCTTTCTGGTAAACTATAAATGTTTGGGTTTGAGTTTGTAATGCAATTTCAAGAATTTTTCATGTTGTTAATCCAATGATATGACCAGATTTGCTCCTGAAAAAAAAAGGTTTTTGATTCTAGGCTGCAAAAAAATGTATAATTAATTACGATGGGATTCTAACCTACAATCTTCCACTCCTGAGGGGAGCGCATTATCCATTAGGCCACGCGATCTGTTGTTCAGAATCTGTTGGATAAGATGATCAGCACCTCTACAAACAAAGGAACCTCAAAAGAGAGGCTCAAGAACACTACGAACATACCATTACCAACCCTCCTAAAACGATATGCATTTCTGTTTATTGCTCAAAAATAGGAAACAAAGGAAAACAAAGCAACGAATCTGCAAAAACTTTAACGAGAGATCTACAACGAAACAATGAACAACTGGTATTCTAGCTTAAAGCCAGGCTAAAACTCGTCATCGTGAGTGAAACATCAAAATCAAACTTTCTTGACCTTGTGTCTATAAAGAATGCGCTTCTTCTTGAACGATGGGTTGTCGATGGTGAGCAGAATCTTGCCAGGCTCACCATTCCTGAACGAGTTGCGAATCGTGCCTTCCTGCCAGGCAATCTTCTTCATCTTCTGAACTATTACGGTGTAGGATCGCTCGTTGTTGGGTACGAATTCCTCCTTGTAGCTCACTTCCCAGGCCGACACTGTGAGATCCCATACCATCGTCTTGCCTCCCTCTAGCGCTGGAATTTCGATGGTCTCCGACGATCCTGCCTTCACCCACGTCTCCTCCGCCACGTCCTCCGTCCCGAAATCTGGGTCGTTGTCCATCTTCAGCCCGCCATACCGGACTGGGAGCTGCTCCGCCGCAATGTACCTGGAAATCACACCGATGGCCAGTAAGATTGAGATCAAATTGTAGATAGGAGAAAATGGGTAAGCAGGGTTCTTACTTGAGTAGGATCTCTGCCACCTTGGAAGTCCTGGCTTGGATGAACTTGTTCTTGGTCCTTGGAGTAAGGAAAGGAGACAAAACTGTATTGAAGGCATAGTACCACAATGGCACATTGATGAATATCTACAAAAACCAAACAGATTGGGGGGGAAGGAAATGTTTGCGTAAGTGCAGAGCAGATCAGGCATACACAAAAGGGATAAAAACAGAGCAGAAGAAGGCATACGTTTTTGGAAACGAATTCAGGGTAATTATCCTGAAGAGTTTCAGCAACTTTCCTGGTAGTCAGCCTGACTTCCTTCTTACTCGGCAGAGGAGTGTTCTTCAAATCATTAATCTGCAGAATCTCACAGCTCCCACCAGGGTTGAAATCCAACTCCTTCACGGATTGCTCCATCTTCCTAATCCGCCACCTCAGGAACCTCTCCCTCTTCTCTTCATCCCCAAGCAACTTATCCACCGATTTATCGAATCCCAGCAATCCATACACGTTATAACAGATCGGGTTCCCTTCTCGATCGCGGCCTTCCATGTACACCACCGGTTCCAGAATATCCGTCTGCGGATCTTGTTCCTCCAGAATCGAATCCATGTTGTTCTCCTTCCTCCATTTCAACGTGTTCTTCAGCATCTCGAACGCCTCGTCCACTCTGAACTCCCTGGCCCTCAGAAATTTCAGCAGAATCACGTCGGTGCTCGCTTCGCCTTTGCTCGGCATCAGTGGCGCACCCCACAGTGAAATTTCTTTGTCAATGATTCCCATTTCCTTCTTCTTCATCATCATTTCCTCTGCTTTTGAGGAATCCTCTGCCTCCTTCTGTCCCCCTATTTTTGGCTCTGCATCAGCAGTAGCGTTAGAGACATTTTGATCATCGATCATGATCTCTTTCCCTTTACTTTCCTTCACGGCCGGGGCTTGATCTGCGGTTATTTTCTCGTCTTCTTGTGATGTTGGTGCACTACTTTCTTCCCCTTCTTTCTTGAGGTCTTGGCTCTCCTGAGAGGGTGGTTGTTGTTGTTCGTTATTGGTGGTATCGGTAGCTTTGGTCTGGTCAATCGTTTGATCGTCCTCGAAGAATTTGTTGAGAAGGACGGCTTCTTCAATCTTGGATTTGAGCTCGAGCAATGCCTTGCGCTCGTACTCTTTCAAATCGGAGAGAAGAGTGGTTTGTTCTCGAGACGAAGAGCTCTCTTCGATCTCAGATTTCTCTTCTTTGGTCTCAATCCCATCAGCAAATTTCACCTCTTTTTGCTTCACCTCATCATTCTCCACTTTGGGCTCCTCAGATTTATTTGCTTCTTCTAGTTTTACAATGTCAGAGGCAGAGGGATCTTTCTCCACTTGAGCTTCATTCTCTTTTGCTGCCACCTTTTCGTCTTCTTGTTTGTGTAGTTGTTGAGTTGGTGGAACAACAACATCAACACTACTACGATCTACAATGTCAACACTGTTGGCAGATGTTTGCTGCAATGGCGGTTCCTGTTGTTCCTTCACTTGTTTTGAAGGAGAATTTGCAGCATTTACCTTCTCTTCACCTTGTTTTTGCTGTTGAGGTTGTGCTTGATTTGTCTCCGTTTCAGCAACATCCTTAGCAGGCTGTTGTTGTTGTTGTTCCTCGATCTTCTTCTGTTGAGGAGGAGCATTGGGTTCTTCTGTTGTTAGGGGAGACTTCGAGTCTGAAGAATTCACAGCATTTGTGGTTGTGGTTGTTGTTGTTGTGGTTGTTGATGATGCTTCCTTTGGTGAGGAAACTTTGGATGGCTGTTGTTGTTGTAGTTCTTCCATCTTCTTCGTGGGAGGATTCGAATCGGACGAATTCACAGCATTCATTGTTTTTGTGGTTAATGATTCTCCTTTTTGTGGGGAAGCTTTGGTGGTAATGGTGGTGGAGGAAGTCTGTTGTTCTTCATTCTTCGAGGAGGCATTTGTATCGACCGAATTTGTTGCATTCGTTGTTGATGATGAGGGTGCTGCTTCTGGTCTCGATTGTTGTTGCTGTTGTTGGTCTTGTGGTGATTGTTCTGAGATTTGGGAAGGCTTGTCAGAAGCCATTGGAGGATGTTCTTGGATGCTTTCAGATGCCATAGTTAAAGAGTCACGAAGGGACAGGACCAATTGATGTTTTAGGATCTGCCTGTGATTCACAAGCAGAAGAGGGAAGGAAATGAAAGGAAAAGAAAAGAGAGGACGGGTTCTTTTTTGCAATAGCAATAGGTAATGAAGAATTTTTGCAAATAGCTAAAGCTATGGAAAGGTGATAAGAAAATAGTAAAAAATCAAAAACAAAAAAGGGTATTTTAAGAAGAGTGAATTTTTAAATAAAGGATTAAGTAATGGCCTCATACATTCCCTATTTTTCGTATTATGTTTACTTTTTCAAAACTTAGTTGCTGATTTTTCATGTTTTTTGGTTCGTTTCTCAATTTGACGACCAAAACATGGACTATAATATACTTAGAGCGGTTTTTTCTATTGCTTTGGATTAGTATTTGTGTTTTGTTGGCTTATTTTGATTTCCCCCCTTTTTGGCCATTTATTTGTTGTCTTTGGTTTCGTCAATTGGTCTTTGACTTCCTTTTTGTAGATGAACTTGACTAATTACTCTTAAGATTTATTACATCGGTAACTACTGTAGAGCTTATCGCCTCTTCATAATGAGTTTTGAATGAGATACACAATAATCATATGTTAATTAAGAATGTGTTCTAGAAATCTCAAAGTAAGAACTTAATTACAGTCTTCTTTGTCTAACAAAAATGTGTTACAAACTCTAAATTTAAGATAATTTAGGAAGAAGAATCTCCAACCCATCCATTTTGCTAGGATTTGGTTCAATTCTCACTACTCACTATCTATATCACGGAGAAAACAAATTATGAACTACATCAACCAAACTATGTGCAATTTATCACCTATCACTATGATACTCAATACCACCATGTTTCTCTTTCTTTTATTTCCACAGCTCACGAGAATCAAACAAAAAAAAAATCCTAGAACTTTTAATGTCAAAGACTTGTAAAAGACTGAGGAAGTGTTCAGGTCAGATGCAGCACAACTTGCCTAAGAACCCAAAAGGAAATAGGCAACAACATACCATAGAAAACCCTATTCATTCAATGTTCAACCATTCTAGGATTACACCACTGTTGGTCACAGTTACGTGTGTTGCAGAATTAGCAAAGCTTCCCCGCCACCACGGTGACATGGACAGCAGCAAGGGTAAGGACCTACGACAATGTATCGACAGGTGTCTCTGGATGAGCACCCCATTCTGTCCAAGACCCATCGTAAACTGCCACGTCGTGTTTGCCAAGTCGGTGCAGACCCTGCAATTCACAACCAGCATCATAAACCAATCATACACAGATAGCTTCTGCAATTCTCTTCTGTATATTGCATGGGAAAAGGACTCTACAGTTCTTAGGCAAGTCACTCTACATTCAGATTCAGATATGGATTGAGTAAAGATAACGACATAAGAACCAAAGACGGAAAGAGTTTAAATTTACCAAAGCAAGGATGCAAGCAGTTACACCGGTTCCACATGAGGTGACAACTGGGGCTTCCAAAGAGATGCCTGTAGATGGGGAACAGGTTGTCCTGATCAGTGAACCTTTTTTTATGATTATCAGTCTTCAGAGTCAAAACAAATTACCAAAAGGGCTCAATTGATAGAGGATAAACCATAACATGGACAACCCAACAACTGACCTTCTTCATCAAATCGTTTCTTTAACTCCTCTGCTGGTAACAGAGTTTGTGATGAGTCGAGCATCTGCAAGGGAACATCCAAAAGTACCCAATTATGACAAATGATAAAATCAGTACCTAAGATCTATTGATAATAGCAACAGACCAACATTTTATCTTCTACCTGAGGAAAAGGAATACACTTGCTTCCGGGTACATGACCACTTCGAACACCCTTTCGTGGTTCCGGTGCAGCACCATCGAACCTGCAAAGAATGGAACTGTCCATCAACCAACTAATAAAGACCGATATGAAGATACAGCATTATTCAAACATTTTAATCTTCAAAATCAGAATCACTCAGAACAGATACCATAACCAGGAAAGACATTGTTGCAAGAATACCTTGGTTTTGAACGGGCATCTATTTGTTGGTAAGTCTTATTCTCGATGTTCTTCTGAACCTATAAAATGCAACTAGTATCTTTCAACATGTGATGTATCACTACCAACATAGGTGAAGTTGTAATAGTGCTGCACTGAGATGGAACTAGCTGAAAGAATTCAACCAACCTGTTCAAGAGTCCAGACAAGATGGGGCAAGAACTTAGTCTCAAATGTTATTGGCCCTACCTGCAATGCATACAAACAAGAGACAAAGCACTGATGTCAACAACTAGAAGCACTAAATCTAGAGAAACAGCAGCTATCCTTTGAAGGACCGAAACAAGGGTTGTCTGTAGAGGAACATCAACTACAGGCCATGTTTATCAGTAGATCTACACACCATATGCACTTACAGGTTGGCCTCGATATACTTTCTGTATTGCTTCACTAGCAGCACTAGCTTTCAAGATGGCATCACTAGAGGCACTAGATTCAACATCATACCCTGAAGCACGCCATCTAGGAAGGCCTCCATCTAACACCCAAACTTTGTCATGTCCAAAAACTCTGAACATCCTTCACAACAAGTTCAAGAAAGGAGAGTCAAGTGTTTTGAAATTAACATCACAACTACAAAACCATACCACACAGCATACCACCAGACACGAGCTGCACTGAAAATCCCCTTCCCATCATATACAACCACTCCGTCTTTATTTTCAATTCCTAGAGAAGAAACAGCAGCTGCAAAAGCTTCCTCCTTTGGCAACATGTGTGGCAACTGTTACGGACACAGCTTTCTCAGATAAGTACAAGAAAAATGAGATAAACCTAGCTACAATTTTCAGATGCTCATGAAACAGATTAAGGATTTTACATTTGTATTTTGATCTGATATACCGTCCACATCAAAGAACAGAGCACCTGGAATATGAGCAACCTGTTGAACAAATAAGATATTACACAGAGACGTCAAGTTTTAGAATTGTTCTCTACAATAATCTAGCAAAAAGTAAAAGTAAAAAGAAAGAAAGGAAAGGGAGAGGGGGGAGGGGGGGGGGGGGGGGGGGGGGATATGATTAATTAAGTGAACCTGATACTCCTGAATTGGGTTCCTCTGCTCATCAGGCATATACCAAGATGCATCAAGAACCTGAGGTTAACAAAAGGAGAGAGAAATTTACTGAGTTTCCACAAATGAAAAGGTCTCATAAACTGTAAAACTCGTTCTGTCCAACTACCTTTATGCCAGGCTCCCTGAGGTTGCAATGGAGCCAATCAACAGAAATAACAGGTTCATTGGTAGATAACGACTGTGTGGAGAAAGTAGCTTTTCCTCCTAACGTGTAAGCCATAGCACGAGGAACCCAACTTGTTGCCTTGTAAGATGTTCTGGTGGGGTTTCTAAAATGGTGAAGCTGCGCCTTCTATAAGTAAAATCAACAGAAATTCAATCAAGATCACAAAGTGAAAGAGGGGCAGATGATGCTGCGCCAGCAAACTTTCTTGGGCATACACCCTCAAGCCAAGGACAATCAACCCCACAGTGCAAGGTAAATCAACCACAAAAGACTTGGCAAGAAAATGAAAATGGAAAGGTTCACAAGCAAAATTCTGAACGATCAACCAAGAGAAATGAACTGTGTCCATCCTTCATCTCATACACCAGAAACGAATCAATTTTCCCTACAGCCACTATACCATGAACTGAAACACCGGTCTTATGGAAACATGATCACTAAACGTACCCCAATCATCTCAACAGATTAGAAATCGTTTCAAGCAGTTGAAGAACGACTTTCCATGAACCAGCTCGAGACCCCGATTTCATGTCGTAAGCATAATGAAAGAGCAACAAAACCTCTACAAGAAAGAGGCAAGGAATAGAAGAACCCAATCCAGCAGTATATGCAAATAACGAAGAAACCAAAGACCCCGGATAGGTATCGCAGTTGAAAGAGGAACCCGATATCCAAATTACCTTGGAGTTCAGGCTGAAGAGAGCACCGAATCGCTGGGGAGCGTAGGAAGAGGAGGAGCAGAATTGGGTGACGCGCTGACCAAGAAGAATCGTCCTGGCTATACTGCTGGAAGCCATTTTATTCGCAGACCATAGAAATAGATGAAACGTCGATAGAGAGAGAGAGGCGAGTCAGTGCCCCACGCCGCAGTAGAGAGAGAGAGAGAGAGGGAGAGTTGAGAGTGAAGGCAAAAGATGACAAAAGAGACCACTGTGCTCCTCTTCTGTCCGCTTGTGCCGCTTGCCGCAATTTAGCGAGTCCTTCCCGGCTCCAGTCAGTGTCGCTGTAGACGTCTAGACGACGGTGGCGGTGCCGGCGCGGGTTTCTCATTACAGGCTCGCGCCCGGAGCCCGTTACCGTCTGAAATTGGTGTGGACTTTCGGCCCGGCCCAAAACGGTTGAATGGACGGACAGAATCAGATGGAGTTATGAGCCTCGGTTCTTGCTTCTGAGCCCCATTCTGACCTCTTTTTATTACAAAGACAAAATACCAAACAAACATGGTGCCCGAGAACAAAGAACAAGCTACACAGAATTACACTACAACAATGGAGTTGGGGGGTATCAAATTGCAGAATGTATATGATCTGGAAAACAATGGTATCGAACATCTTAGCAAGAGAATGATCAAGCTTGTTCAAGAAGCCTACACCAAAACACAAACAAATCAAAACGGGAACCACCGATTCACAGCCTTTCTCGATGCCTGAGCTAATCTCTTCAGCCCTTTGGCCTTCTCATAATACTCCATCAGCTCCTTGGCAACATCCTCAGGATGACACGAAATAAACACCTTGATCATTCTCTTCTCGCTCATCTTGATGGCCTTCAACAGTGACGGCCCTTCGATCTTTGGCTGGAGACCCATCTCGTCTATCTTCCCAGCAAGCAGAACTCGAGGTTTCATGACCGCCTCCAGGCTAGCATAGATCAACGCAGGGTAACTCAGTACAACACTCGCCGGAAGCTTCAACGTGCCCACAACGTAAGTCATGTTCCGCTGGACCTTATCGACAGCCAACGTCAACAGATAAGGCGAACGCCCCACGAGTTGCCAGACTTCTTCTTCTTGAAACCCGAACTTCTCCAAGTTGGCAACTTTGCCAAGCAGAGTCTCTGTTTTCGAAATGCCCACGATTGTGACTATGTACTTGTAAAGCTTCGAGCTTTGGGGGACCCCGGTTTTGTGGATGAACTCCATCTTCTCGTCGTCGAATTGTGTTCTCGCGATTAATGCAGGACGAGACATGAGCATTTGGGCGAAGCTTTGTTTGTTCACACCCATGGAATCGTACAACGCGACCACGGGTTTGATCTTGTTGTGGAGGTCGTATCTCAACAAGGAGGGATTCCCCACGATGGCTTTAAGAACCATCTCCTTTGACCCAAACAACTCCGCGAAGTATTCCATGCGCTCATTGAAGGAACCGTTCATGCTGTAGCTTAGGAAATGCGGGCGGCAGTTGATGATCTGAACAAGGTGGGATGCGTTTAAGCCCAGGTTTTGGAGGACAGTTAATTTGGAGTGGAGGAGGGCGACGCTGGCGTTTCGCAGAGCCGGCCTGCGAGAGAATATCTTGGCCAAATCGCTGTCCTTGCATCCCCATCTCTTGAAAACCTCTACAGAGTTCTTGGGCGGTGCTTCTTCTACTTCTTCCTCTTCGGCTTCAGTCTGGCATTTCGTCGAACAGGTGGCGGCTGACCTCGGGACGCAGAGATCGGGAACTCTTTGAACTGCGTTTATGCTGAAATAGATACACCGTCGTGAAGCATAGGAGCTGACGCGGGGTTCCGATAAGAAGAACCGAGTCAATTTCATTAAACTGCATGTGCTTTAGGCGGTGAAGGCAGAGCTGAGAAGCTCGAACAAACAACAAGTGCGGCTGCTTTTTTCTTCGGAAAGCTCAACTGCCAGGTTCTCCCGGCGGGGAAATGGGTAGAATTCAGGCTGATTGGTCGTTCGTCGAAATCCTCGCTATCGACAATGTAAACTTCAGCCGCCGGGACTGATTCTCGCCGGAATTGATGGAATTGGGAATTTGGGATGCAATTACGCGAAGGCGAGGCGACACCGAAACGGAGCCAGGTAGCCAGCATCTCTCGGCTTATCCTAACACTTACGCGGGCATTCTGTAGGCTTATCACTTATATGTTTATGCTACAGTTACGCGGGGGTTTAGCCCAATGAAAATTTTCCTCGTGAATGGCCCAATAAAAATAAAAAAAAATCAGGTAAACAATTTTAATTAGTCAAAATTTGATAACAACGATTAATTTAACAAGAATTGTACTATCACACTCACCTGGGACAAATTCAATGAAATTTAAAAGACAGTAATCAACGATGAAACAAAAATTAAAAATTAATGATTACTAATTAAATAAATGTGTAATCTAGCCAACAATGCCCTGTTATCCTTCAATAAATAATCACTAAGGGAATGGAATTATGCAATAAATTATGGAATAAAAGTATATATATTGGGGCCTTGTCTTCTGAAATATGTCAACTGCTTGAATGCTTCACAATACATGCACTTGATACCAGTAGATACATAAATTACTTGGTTGTAAGAATCCATCAACTTAGACATCAGAGAATTCGTAACGTTACAAGCCTCTAATGAGGTACAAGTTTAGGATGTACCCCATCGAAAGATCAAAATTCTCACTCAAAATGAACATAATTTGAACTTTGATTGCATTCCAGAAGCCTTTCATCCTCGTTTGTTCTTCTTAAATTTTCTGGGATGGTTATCTTTGCCGCCTAGATATCTCTCAACCTCCTCATCTTGCTCATCTCCTCCACCTCCACCCCGCCTCTTCCTGTTGCCTCCACTTTCTTTCAATTTCTGTACAAAGGCGGAGAGAGCAAGTCAGTTACCAAAACCCACTCGTTCTGCTGCTATCACCCATTTCTCTATTCTACTAATACTACACAATAGGCAAAATGGAGATAAGTTGAAATACCATTTGGGAAATTCTTTTGGCTTCCGTGACTCTTTCGAGCAACAACAGTACCTCATCGTTCACAGCGGGAAACTCATCCAACTTTCTACCTGCAATATGCCACAAAACCACTCATTCAGCAACTCAAGCATATCGAACGTGACTTCTTTAAAATTATTTCCGAAGACAAACACTGAAATGTATGGCGTACCGATAAGCTTCTCTATTTGTATATACCACTCCAGTTCATACTGATTTACTAGGGAGATTGCAACCCCAGACCGCCCTGCACGAGCAGTTCTCCCCACCCGATGAATATAGTCCTGTTAGTTCAAACAAAAAGCGTTAGTTTGCCTCTACTATGCCACTAAGAATGTTTAGTTACCTACAGTCAAATGAAAACTTGAGATGCACCTTTGAGTTTGTAGGGATGTCATAATTAATAACCATGTCTACTGAAGGAATGTCTAGCCCTCTACTAGCCACGTCGGTGCATATAAGAACATTGCACTCTCCAGCTTTGAACTTGTTCAAGGCGCCAAGTCTCTTGGACTGTTAAAGAGATTTCCAGTACCAAGTCCAGTTACCAATTGTAATAAGGAATTGGTCGGAACTAAGGCAAGGTGAGGAACAAACATGTACAAAAGAATACCAATTAAGGACAGCATACCTGTGTCATGTGGCCATTAATCGGGATGGCCCTCATACCCAAATTTCTAAGAACCAAAGCCAACAATGTTGTTGCATCACATGTTCGAGTGAATACCATTGAAGTACTTCCAGACATTTCAGTCAAAATGTAGACAAGATAGCAATCCTGGGAGCACGGTAAGATACAAATTGAACCATGGATATTAGTCCATCATAGACTTCAAACAGATATTTCCTGACAAATGATACTAAAACGTAGGTAACATATGCCACCAGAAAAAAGAGGCGAGTAAAGACCTTATGCTTGGCTGGAATAAAACAATATTGCTGCTTCAGCGTATCCACAGTAGAATACTTAGATGCAGCTTCTATCTGAAACAAGAATATAAGTAATGCATGTAATAATGACAAGAATGGAAAAACAAGGGAATCCAAATAGAGCAAACTACGATCACTGCCAGAACTAATAATGTACCTTCACGGGATTCTTCAAGCAAGCCCTCTGAAGTTTCTTCACCTGCATATTTAATAGAGAAACTGCTCAATATTTCAAACATCTTCAGCAAGCAAGCAATCTCACCCTGTATCCCAAGTCGACATAATGCTCCGACAGTAATAAAAGGGAACACACGTAAGTCATAAATCTATTCCACTCACGCACCTTTTTAGTCATAGTAGCAGAAAACAAGTATGTTTTCCGGTCTTGCGGAATTGAACTAAGAATCTCATCAAGTGACTTCTCAAAGTCCTCATTTAGCAACCTGTCAGCTTCATCTAAGACCTGCTCAACCAGTACAGTAGCCAAAAAATTACCAGACTAATTGAAACAAAAGGCAACAGTTCTAAAATCTACTAGGAACTCATAAAAAAGTCCTCAATATAACATACCAAATACTTTAATGTCCGAAGAGAGAACCCTTTTGTGTTCGTCAAATGATCCATAAGGCGCCCAGGTGTACCAACCTACGACAAAACCCAAAAAGAATTCAAATAAATTTCAATCCAAGCAGTTCCCTGTAAATGAAAAGAGCTGAATCCCATTATAGGGGGCACTAAAAGAAGTACAAATAGAAGTTAGCATCCTAAACGGAAGAGAAACACCATGAACTTAAAGCAGCATACGCTAGTCAAGCCCAAAATATTCAACTTCTGCTGAGAATGAAAGTGCAATGGAGATGCAAATACAGCAGACAAGGAACTTACGACAATGTGAGGCCGCTTTCCAAGAGAAACAGCTTGTTGCACCATATCTACTCCTCCAACAAGCTGAACCCGAAAGCAATCAGTAGAGTAGGATCATAAGTTAATTAATCCGCCACCAAAATATATTGACCCAAAAGAAACACCGAGCGCACTAATTTGATCAGCAAATGCTTACCACAGCACATTTGAGACCAATGGCAGACCCCAAGGCTTCGAACTGCTCAGAAATTTGAATAGCTAACTCCCTCGTGGGCGACAGCACGCAGGCGAAGAACGCCCCAACGGACCTCTTCTTCGCGGCCTCGGTCAGGAGCGACTGGATTATGGGAAGAGCGAAAGCACCCGTCTTCCCGGAACCCGTTTGTGCCAAGGCAATCAAGTCTTTCCCTTCGAGTGCATGTGGGATAGATTCCACCTGTATCTTTGTCGGGTTTTTCCATCCCAATGTGTCGCAAGCGTTCGCCAATTCCTCGCATATCCCCAAATCTTTGAACGTCTTCACTTCCTCATTCTCCTCGGCCATTATTGCTTACCGGCAAGCCGCTCCGTGATACCTTGTGACAGTGGCGCTTGCAGAACGCGACGGAGAAGAGCTGCAGACGGCGGTTGATTTTGAGGAAGAAGAAGAGGCTGGAGTAGAGAAAGGGTTTCTCAGAGATTTTTGGCTTCTGTGGGGTTATTGGGTTAACCGATATACTGGATCGACCTAACCGACAAAAATAAATAAAATCTTGGGCCTAATAACTTTCTCCTTCAACCCCATTCCAGGCCAGGAGTTAGCCCAACGAACAAGCATGGCCGCCCATTTTGGTGGGAATCAAGGTTGTCATTACCCTCATATCTTGGACTTTGGTTGCCATACTTGTATCTTATAGCCATTTCATAGTACAATTCTAACATGTTATTAGGGACCAATGCCATAACATAACATATGTAACACCTACGAAAAATGAAATCAATCGTTTATAGAAAATGAACTAAAAGAACAGAATATATATATATATTAAAAAAATCTTTCTACATGATAGAGCAAGAGGGGCTTATGGTTATCATAGTGTGGATCATAGGATGTGGGCATCGGAACCACTACCACTTGCTGATAGTATGGATAGTTACTTGGATCCTGATGGTGGACAATCGGCCACCCCAACTGCCCCTTTTGCTCACCCAGCTTCTCCTCTTTAGGCTGCCCCCCACCACCGCCGCCGCCGCCGCCGCCTTTTTTCTGATCGCCTCCTTTCTTGTCATCCCCTCCTCCAGCCGCAGGTGCTTTCTTGTCGTCCGGCTTCTTTGGTTGTTGTTGTTGTTGTTGTCCTCCCTCCGGCTGTGGCTTCGGAGGAGGAGGCGGCGGCCCGATACTCACAACTTCCACGTGTTTTCCGGTCTTCCTTGCCCGAACAATTACCTCGTACGGGTCACCACTTCCCGTCACTGTTAGTGTTCCCTTTGTTTCATCAATCTCAACCCTATCCACGCCTGAATATATAGTCGGAATATACATACCATCAGAATTAGGAAAAGGAGAGTCATTTAACAAGCTAATAAGGTTGTTGCCCGTCTTAGTACTACTCTCAGCCAAAATATTCAATGTTCAGTTGGTAATGAAATTCACCATTATAAAAAAAACAAGCTAATAAGGTTGTTTTGTGGCCAGCGATTCATCCCAAAGCGACTAGCTAGTTGAAAATTAAAACGAGGACTTTAAGAAGAAAGGTTATACCTTGGACAGCAGAAACGGCTTTGAGGAGCTTCTTCTTGCATTTGACGCACGCAATATCCACCTTCAGCACGGTTCTCTGCATCCTGAAATCCCCCCGGCCGGCCACCCAAAATTCAGACCGATCTAGTTGTTGCTGATCTGCCGGCAGTTTCCTACCTAGCTTCTCTTATAATGAGGAGGCACCGTGAAGCAGCTGGAAGAAATTAGGAAAGATATAAACAATAGTAATGGTGGGTGTTGATTTGGTAGACAGAAAGAAAAAAAAAGGCGCACTTTGGGTTGGTCGCTCACAAACGAGAAAAAATTAATTAAACTGGATTATCAGCAAGGATTTGCCTCGACGAACTCTTCATTAATGGTGCCAAATCTATCCGTCATTTTCAAAGGGAAGCTGGCTAGCCAGCCAATTCCCGGACTTCGGAAGTTTCAGTGCGCGATGGACTTCTTCAACAAGATCGCCTTGTTTTTCACTTCGGAAATTCCCACCGGGGAACTGACGCAGCAGCTTCATCGCTTTGGAAATAACATTTTTACCGCCTCGGACGATGCCAAGTGTTTATCAGCTACATCCCATTTCCCGCTCTGCTTTTCACTTCGCCGGCAGTGAACAGCAAGAAGAGTAGCAGCAATCCCATTCCTACTGTCCGCCATTGCAAGCTATTCCCACCACTAGACCGCTGACCTTCTTCAGGACTACCTCCAGTGCCGTGGAACTCCTCTTGTTCCGCGCCAGGTCGGAGATCATGTTAAGCACTGCCACCTGGACCTTCAGGTTTGAGATCTCTGCCATGGAAGACGACTCATCTGTGGAAGGATTGCTTCTGTAAGGAAGGAGCAGCGGTGTTCGTTCTTCTTTTACGGGCTTCTTCTGGAACGGAGATGAGAGAGGAGCTTCCATAAGCATGGACTGTCGGTGTGGAACCTGCGTGTGAAGAAGTCCCCTCCGCATATTTGCACCACGTTGGCTATCACACTTGCGCATTTCCTTACGGCCTGTGGGAGCAAACCGAGTGAAACAATGAATTTCTAAATCCATGAACGTAACTAGTTTTTCTGAACAAAAATGACCAGCCAAGTAAAGGAGATAAATGCCTCATGGTTAGTGGTTACTACACTATTGAGGTTTGTAAGACAATGGTTATTCCTCCTGATAGCCAACATGACACAACAAAGTGCAACAAGATGCCAACTAAACTAAGAAGCTTGTAATAAAACAGTTATTCCATCTAATCTGACATAAGCCAAGTTGAGTCTACATGTCAGATGCACTCGCCACAAATCCTTTCCAACATGAACCCAACTCGCAAACCCGTCTCCCAACCGACAAGTAGACACACAAAACCATGATCTAAACCCATCCTCGACTAGGAATGGGTAGAGTCCGATGGATGCATTGGTCTTGATTGCATATACTCGTCCATACTAATGACATGTTATACTAAATGAGACAGAATGACTATTTTGATACGGATCCTTCAGTTTAGTTGCCAGCTTTTGAGGACTTGAACTATCTAGGCATTTAAGAATATTACCCCTAGATAAAGAGAATTGATGGAAATCCTTACCACGGGATTTTTGTTACGAACGCAGGAAATCAAGTTCGGCCATATTTTATTCATAGCTGGAAGCAATCTGTTCTCATCAATCCCTTCATCGGCAGCATCCATAGTATCATGAAGCTCATAAATCGAGTAAGATCGCACCACTTCTTCAATTACTTCTTTGGTTTCTTTCTCGTGCTGATAGGCTTCTTCCACTTTCGCCAGTGATGAAACGCCGTCCTATTAATGTAGTTTCAGAAATATTTGAGGGTTATAATATGATAACAGGGAAACGGAGGTAAAAGGTACAAGGGTAATAGATGATTTTGTAACGGGGATCTGTTCTATACCTGGACTATATCCAATGCCACAAGGCATGCTGTCTGCTCCATTGAGGCAAGAACAGGGGTTGCAGCCGATAAGCATGACGCAGCAATAGAGCCAACTGTTCGTCTATACCTTTTGGATTCGCTCCACTTGAACATTATACTTACCCATTGTTCTACAAGCAAAAAATACTAATTCATGAATCCTTTCATTATAATAAGGAAATTAACATCTGCATCGAAATTTAAAGACTGTTACACAAATAACCTGATTCTCCTTGGCAACTATCAGACTCGCCATCTGGATTGTGGCTGGTTTCAGCCCTTGCTTTCTTCTCCAACCATGAAGCTTTGGACTTGACATCCTTAAGGTACAATTCTGCATTACTTGGTAATGAAGAAGTCTCGGATTTTGATGCCTTGGAAATTTCTGCTATGGCCTGAAAACTGAAAGTATCTACTAGTTAAAAACTTTTCTCTAGAGAATAGAAGCACAAAGTCTCCAACAGGGAGCATTGCAAATACAGGTTATCTATAGATAACGAATAAGTACATAAGTTTCACGAAGTACACAACCTTTAGGAAGGGAGTGGTCAGTTTTGGGTGTTGATGTCTGCCAAGAATTTCTAGTTCCCTTGAAACAGCACACATCTGCACAGTATTGCAATGACCATATAAATCAAGGATGTGCGTGTTGACATGAGCTTATCAAGAGAGCCTGTATATACAGAATTCTGACCCAAACAGAGGGCAAAAACATCCAAGAGTCTTGCTGCAGTCACCTACAAAGACCAGTACAGAAAAGATAAGGTCATTTATAAGAAACTAGCACCTTATTGATTTTAACCTTTCATCTACTCTGTTATAGAGCAATTGAAATAAAGAGAAACAAGAGATCATCACGCCAGGTTTTTCTTAGCAGGTGGGGAAGTATTCAAAATGTTTTAGGCACTCCCACAAAGGTGCAAAGAAGTTATTCTCTTGGCTTTGCCGTAAGATGAGGTGCCAAAATAAAGAAGCATTAGAGATGAAGAAACAAATGCATGCTCCGACCTACCGGATTTTGGAGGTGATCCAACATAAACCGAGGCCCGGAATAATAAATGACAGCAAGTAACTGTTGTGCATGGAAGAGAGCAGCCAACTCCTTGCCTCCAAGTACTACTTTTGGAAGCTTTTCGATGAGCCTAGTAAAGAAAATAGAGTAAAATAGAGTTCAAACTACTCGGAGCCTTGCACTGCCCCGATGTCCTCGTGCAGCCTCAGTGTCTGCTGCCTTAACAGAAATCCCAAAGTTAATCCATAACACAGACTTATATACACATAAAGTTTGCCAAGACTAGAAATCGGCATGGAAACAAGGAAATCACCTGCAGAAGAAGTGAGAACCAGTGTCCAATTGCAGCTGCTGCATTATGGGATTGGAGAAATGCAATCAAGCATTTACTTCCTTCTGTATCATAACTCAAAGGCTCACGTAGGGCCAACGAATGACCATCCCCATTCTCTACCAATGCTGGCACACCATAAGCTTGCCTACACGAACAAGCTTCATCGGCACAAGGACGTATACCTCTAAGTACAGCTCCGAAACACCTGATCACTCCCTCTCGAAACTCTCCAAAGCTTCAAATGGAGACAGCATAGCTGCGTGAGTCAATTTCTTCATCACTAGAACCATCTAAAGCACAATCACCAAGTTATTCAAAAAGGTTTCAACACACTACCGATTCAATCTGTAACCAGAATCAAACAAATTCGAATCGAGACTTAAACAACCTGATCGACAAACCCGAAGCGACTCTTCTGGAAAAGCTCTTCCAAGCACAGTACCACGCCTTCTGCCACTTTGTCACACACTCTATGCGGCACTGCAGACAGCTTCTTCCTCTTCTTCTTGGCATTCGACCGCCGCATCAAGCAGGAGCAGCAACGGGAATGAGACGTAGCTGAAAGGCGCATTAGATGAGTTTCAAGTCAAACTGCTCTAATAAATCCCATAAATATGAGCCGCTAGACTTTTCATCTAACATTGTCGTACTCACTCGAAGAAAGGCTGTAAATCAGTAGAGGAACAAGCGCGGAGAAATTCGAGCGGTGAAGGAATCACGGAAGAAGAACGATTGCTAGGGTTCTGGAGAAGCTCGAAGAGCTCTAGGCAGTAGGGTATAAGCCGCAAGAAGACGCTGTTTCTGTGAATTGAATCCGCCAAGTACATCTACAGACTACAAAGCTGGACGGATTCGCCAGAAGTTTCTTGGGAACAACTGAGAAAGACGGCGAAAGAAGCGCGAAACTGTGTAGAGTTAATTTTTCCAGTTCTTCAGAACGGGGTGAAAGAAGGATGTGGGAAATATGAAAATTTTCCGCGAGCATGATATTAGAGGAGAAGAAAAAGAAATTAGAGAGAAGAAAACACATTTGGGCCTGGCTTACTGTCAGGTCCAAGCTATTCACGAACAAAAAGAGTAGGCTTTGGCCCAACCATTTATTCAATATAAAGCCAGGCCCAATTCTCTTATGAGGGTGCTTTGCTTGATTCACATACGTCAGCAACATGCACATGCAAGCTAACCAAATAGAGAACTGGAGGACGTACGTCGTTAGTGTAATTCCATTTCATTTGTACGTTATTGAATGAAGTACGTTCCCCAATTTGAATGAAGTAGCTAGTATTGAAAGTTACCTAGCTATATGTCATTTGAGATGAAGCAATCATAGATTAAGACCCAAGGCCTAACAGGAGTAGTTAAGTTGTTTACACCCGTTAGGAGGACCTAATTAACCGATTTGCAAGCAAAAACAATTACAAGCAGCCGACCAACTTGGAAAAAATCTCCATCGACTTGGGATATTATTATGAAGAGCCATGTAAAAAGAAGACAAATTAATCCAGAAAATATAATGCAATTAAATAGATAAGAAGAATATATAGGTATATACTTTGAGTGGATCAACTTGGTGTTTCTGGGTTTATTTAAATAAGATAATGTATATCGTTCAGTTCAACAGCAGCAGCATTAACATGGTAGACTATACTGTGCAGTGCATATATAATATATGGGTTGGTCAGTATATCTGGACGTTGAGTTGAGTTGCTGTGTAAACAAAACCAAACCCAGCCTCCAAGTCCGTTTGTGCTTGCTTCTGAATCTTTTGTCCACAGTCCGCACAAAGACTTTTGACGGTGCTTGGCTTTCCCAATTCCCACCCATAACTATCAGAATCGGTATTATTATTTGATTCTTGCTCCCAATTAAGTTCCACCTGGGGATTAGAGCAACAAATATTAGAGAAATTAAAATGTTATATGGGTACTTCTCATATTTATTTCATTGGTCGGTCATTCGATATACAATAAAATATAAGAGGAGGTACTCTAATAATTAAGTCGATTAACAATTTTTCTCGAAAGATAAAAGGTAGTGAATTCATTTTTTATGTTTTGTATAGAAATTATCTCACAACACTTGTAGATGGTGAGGAATTAAGGAGCGATTAATCTTGTAATTCGACACATTGAATTAGGCCAAAAGAATTGATTGAATAGTTCTTGTGAGGATGTGACCTGCCAGCTTGACTCAACAAACATGAGCAATTGGATTAAGAGATGAGTAATGAATATCGACACGAATCAAATTAGATATGATAACCCAATAATACAAACATAAATATTTGAATTGAAAGTGAGTGTAGGAAACTTAATAGATTATCCATATTAATTAGATCCGAAATCATATTCTTGATGAGCCCATATTTATATATAAATTAACGGATAAATACTCGTCATTTGGTGTCTATACTTTCATTCTTGTACACGCAAAATAGGGAGCATGGCCTAATTATATATATATACCATTTCTATGCTTGACTACAAGAGTAGTACTAGCTAACTACTTCAGGATTCACATGAACCACCAAATAATAATTCTTTAGCATAAAACATTGACTTCCTACATTTCAACATTTGAAACCAATGAATTTGAAAACCGATAAACTACTACTATATATACATCTCTCTCTATATAGATTGACAATTTGCCACATATTTTCCCGTCAAATGGTGACGTGATCACGTAGCCACAAAAAAAAAACATATTCGAGATCATAGATTATAGTTTAATAATAAGTCTCAACCAAGGAGTGGAAAATATGGAATTATTATTATGATAGCCTGATAGATAGGACCAAACTTGCTTAGCTAAGCAGGTGGTGGTGCTACTATATACGACGATGTCATTTTGTCGTCGCAAAAGAGATTTTTAAGTTTCCCTAATTTGTGGATTAGAAATGCATAGAGAGCAGGCAGTTAGTCTACTTGCCTCAATGTGGACACAGGAACGGCTGCAGCAGTGACATATATATATATATGTGGCTAATATGAGGGATTTGGTAAAGGCAGTAATTAATTATTGTTTTTTATGTATTGATTCTTTGACCCACATATGAAGCTCCCAATCACAACTTTGAACCAAATAAAGACCTTGATCACAATGTATATTTTTGGTTTGGTAATGGTTGGTCTACCAAATATATACTATACAGCTCAAATAGCTAGGCTACTTCCCCCACTTAGATATTTGCCCCTCGTGTTTATGTCATCTCATTTTCCTATATCCTAATCCAATAGCTAATAAATCCTCTAGTAACATTGACTTTTGCTTACGTGGCAATGTCAAGTCATTAACACCTCACATTTTTAATTTAAATTAAATAAAAAAATTGAAAAAACTTTAAATTCAAGAATGTTACTAAATAATATTCAAAAACCCCAATCGTTGATTGTCTCTCTCCTCTTTGCTTGGTACTTTCTCGTCGACTCCTACCGCCCTTCGCCGCTGCTCTTTCCAACGCCTCAAACTTCCATCGCCGTTCGTGAACCAGTTTTATGGCCAATCATCAATTCTCTCCTATACGGCCACCCATAGACGGCTCTCTTTCACCATTGCACTTTCTTCAAGCCACCCAAAGAAGACTGATGTGGCGGATCTTTGAAGGAGCACTTGGGGATGTCAGATCCAGCGCAGCGACGTCGTGTTTCTCCGACCTAGTTTCTCCTCACGATGGGAGGATTTCTCAATCCCCTGCCATCAATCCAAATCGAGTTCCTAACTGGCCACCGTCATCTTTCTCCCAAATTCAACTCGAAATCCCAACTGCCACTGCCATCTTTCACCCAATCACCTAAGTTCGACCCCATTGCCTTCTTCGTCGCACCGTCGCTGCCTTCTTCCTCCACAACGCTGGCGACACCATCACATTTCCTCTATCTCCAATCGAAATCCCACCCCATCGACTAAACCCTATGCCGCCCTCACATCGATGGGCACAAATAGACTGGAAACCATTCCTCGTTGCACCATCGTTGCGCTCTTCTTCATCCGCAACGCCGACAATACATCACCTTTCCTCTGCCTCCAATCGAAATCCCACCACATTGACAAAATCCATTTCCGTCCTCACATCGACTGGCACAAACAGAAAACCTTCTTCGTTGCCTTCCTAGAGAATGTCAGGATGAGATTTGAACTCCAACCCGCATATTTGAAATCTGGTGAAGAGATCTCAAAGCGAGCTTTTCCTTCTCCGAATTCGGCCCAGACTGCGACAAAACGATGGCGTTCAGATGGTGGAGGACGTCGGATCTGAGCAACGAAGCGAGGTAGTGGAGAAGGCTGGAGATAGTTGAGGAAGCGAAGACTTGGTCGCTGAAAGAGCAACTTGCCGCCGGGGAGGGGATTTGAAGTCGACAAAATCTTCAAATAAGAACTCCTTCCGCCAACTGTGATGGCGCTTGACCACGACAAATCGAAGGGATTGCAGTGTCCGCGGAGTGGGAGGATTGTTGTGGTGGCGGATTGGGTCAGGTAAGAGGAAGCGGGGGAGCAAGCTCGAGAGGGGGATTGGGTAGATGAGATTAGGAATTTTTAATTTTTAGTTTTTTTAATTGCTATTTAATTATTTAAAAATAACACGTCAGATGCCACGTCAACGCTGACTGGATTTTTTGTTAAATACTAACAGTCAACGCCGGTCAACATTAACAGAATAATAATTCGGGACATAAATGAAATATTGAAAAGAATAGGACACAAATGACATTTTTGTGATATAGTTCGTGTGTTGTAGTGGTATTAGTTCTTAAATAAACATCTTTTAACAATTCGAGTCATGTGTGACACTATAATAGAAGTAAGCTTCGGTTACCGCACTGAATTTAGTGTCTTTCATTCTATATTTCTTATTATATATAATTAAGTTGAATTCCCGCAGTATGATCTCTGGTTGATTATTTTTAGGTAAATTTACTATATATATCAAGAACCAGTTGATATCAATAACTCGAGATTCGAGTTGTTAGGAGAAGTTCAATTATTAATTATATATCATTTACTAACACACTCCCTCAAACAAAAACCAACTCATATAGGGCTTGAAGTTTGCACAGATCTAGACACGTATTGTGCTTAACATAATAGATGAGAGTCATTGTGATTCAAGCAGAAAACCTCTCGATCACAAAAGGCTTTGATACCCTATCAAGAACCAATTGATCCAAATAACTAAAATTATTGGAAGAAGTTCAATTATTAATCATATACCATTTACTACCACCACCTAGATCAACATGTAAAATGGGTTCCAGTAGCTATCATTGGTATTGTGATCACTAGTGAGAAAGTTACCAACCAATGAGAGATTCTAACTCACTGTAATCATCAGTTGTCTTGAACCTGCACAGCACAGACCTACGAAAGGAGCTTAGCTAGCGTATGGGGAGCGCCGTTGAAAATTTTGAGCGATGACTAGCTATGTGTTTAATAACATTAGACCATCTTTTGGCATTATTATATGTACATAACAATAGTACTACTTACTATGGATGAATAGTCGCCAATTGAGGTCCTTGTGTGGTTCTTGCATCGCATTCATATGGTTCACAAGAGTTTCAAAGGACGTGACAGATTGAAACCAGTTATATATTGATTCCTTCATTTTCAAGCATATCTACAAAGTGACAAATCATATATATTTTCATATCAAAATAATACGTGATAGACTGAATATCATATATTTAATATTGAGATCGTCAAATTCGAACACAAAGCATGTTAATCATCAAAAAATGTAATTCAACATAAAAACAAATTAATCACAACTACTCAAATTACTAGGAAGAAAATTAATCTTGTGTTTGTTATTAACATCACTTGTGCGACCAGAGGAGGGCAAGTAGTAGAAGTAGATGATAAGTCAGGAGATCCCACCAAAATTTTTTGGCCGACAGTTGAAAAGGTCGTTTGTAAGTTCTAAAGCATAAAGGACTCTTTTTTTTACCTACCCACCTACCACCACCAAATCTGAAATTGAAAGGAAAAGAAAGAACATCAGTGGTCGCTAATATAATAAGTATATATATTGCTTTGCAATTGGAGCTCATCCTCAAACTTTACCATCAAAATACAGGGAAAAGCGACTGTATTTCTTTTTAACAACTTGCTGTAAATTCTTTCTTTAGCTTGGCTACAAATTTCACAGGTTAGGACTTAGGAGCATGTCACAATTCATATATGCTGTCTACATTTGGTTCTGTTGTTGAACAAAGTTAATTAACAAACTGTATCACTATTTTTTGCCTAGTATTGTATAGTTCATCTTGGATCGATTGAGTTTGCTCTTTGATTCGATCCAAGACACTCCTATTAAGAACACTCCATACTTGAGTTAAATATCTTGAGTATGCGGCTGGTTTGGACCTGTTGGATTAACTTCGGATTGTGCTTTATTTTCATGTGGAGGGAGTGATTCATCGTCATATAAAACCTGTATGTTTCCCTCTCCTGGCACTTGGGGGATTGTCGGGTTGTCTTCTGGGTTTCTAGTATCGTTGTTTATTTCCTCTAGACCCAATTCAGTTTCCAAGTATCGCAGCCACTTTTTCTTGTCATCATCCTCTCCATCGTCCACCTCCTGAACTCCCAGCTGGTCATCAGACAAACAAGCTACATTTTCACCGTCGTTGCCACTAGATTCCGTTAGCCCATCCAACAAGTTCCAGAACTCCATGTCGGATTCCAAAGGAATCTCAAGGGTGAAGTCCTCAACTCTGGGTCGGCTCACCTCTTCCAACACATCATAGACGTTACCAACTGATTCACCCAAGCTAAAAATTGAATCCATCGACATGACATTATCAATTAGGCTGGAGGAATTCATCGGAAAGGATGAAGCCGAGGAAGTCGAAATGTCCTTTGGAAATGATTTGAATTCATAATCATTATTCATCTCATCCTCCTTGTTGTTTTGAATGTCTTCTTCGTCCACCACTTCTTCTTCCTCTTCATCCTCATTCAACAAATGAGTTCTCTGTCTTTTCCTTTGTTGATCGCCGATATCAATTGTTGCTTGAACATTCCTTTTGCCAGACGAGTTTGTGGTGGTGGAGAAGGAGGAGGATGAAGATGAGGAGGTCGGCGAAGACTGCTTAGTCATTAATTCAACATTTTTCTTGTTAGATGATACTATTTTTTTCAAGTGAGTGTTCCACACATTCTTGATCTCATTGTCAGTTCTCCCCGGCAAATGAGATGCAATTTTTGACCACCTGAAAAACACATATGACAATCTTGTTAAGAGTGGATCCTTTGTTTTATAATCACGTAAGACATGAGGTCGTGAATTATAAGAAAAGGGAGCTAAAGCAAGGTTAGCTAATTAGCTTACTTGTTGCCAAGCTCATGATGGAGACGGATAATGGAGTCTTCTTCCTCTTGGGTGAAGTTGCCACGCTTTACATCTGGTCTTAGATAATTAATCCATCTCAGACGACAACTCTTCCCACATCGCGATAGACCTGTTACGAATACGAATATACAATTAGAATTTATATATGACCAAGTATAGTGTTACTATATATTAAAATATGAATTAATGATTTCATTGTTGAACCACAAATTTGAATTAGGAATCTTGTCCACTTGTTTGGGTTTTCCGCATGGAAATTAAAAGAATGCATGCGTGTTAAACAGGATAAACTTGCGAAAAGAAAAACGAACAAAAGGTTATTAGTGACGATTTTGATGTTGTCGCTAAAACTGTGTGGTACTAGTATTGGGTTGGGATTTGGAGGCTAATAAATAATAATAATATGGGTGGAGATTCATCCACAAAATCTCCAAGATGATGCGACGGTTCAGACTAGTCATGGAGATGGGGGAAACTTTTTTCAAAGATGTGACCATCTTACACAATAAAGTCTTTAGGACTATCAACTCATAATTTTGATTCATTTGCCCTTTTGTGTATTCTCTGCGTTGAGTTAAATACCATAATAACTTGCTAGATTTTGCATATTTGTTTTTGGAAATTATATTATCTTGTATTCCTAATTTCTGAAACAGTGCAATTTATTTATTACCAGCAAAAAATGGAGGAAATATTGATTCTATCAAATACCTTACCAAAAATGAGAAAAAGGAAATGAAATCCAAAACCCAGAAGAAACAGAGAATTCTGGTTTTGTCAATGAAAAATACCAGAAAACAGGGGAGGGGGGAAAAACAGAGCAAGACAGATCGAGGGTACTCAGAAACCATAGTTTCACTTTCCAATCGAATTACAACCCACGTACGGGTTGAAACCAAACCGGCCTTTGCGGAGAATAGAAAAGCAGAGCGATCGAGGATGGAGAAGGTGACTGACCAGCTTGTTTGGGGAGGGATCTCCAGTTTTCATGGCCGTGTTTCTGAATGAAAGTCATGAGCCTGAGGTCCTCTGCAGGGCTCCATGGGCCTCTCTTCACTTGGTTCTTGTCGCAGCACGGCGCTCTGCCTTTCCCCATTAACCCCCTTTTTCTTTCTTGGGTTCCTCAGCTTAATAATTACACACTCTCAGCAGATCGTGCTTTCCTCGCGGGAGTATTGAAATGGAAGAAAAGGAAACGGCCAGAGAGGAACAGAGAGTCAGAGAGACAAGTTTAGTCACGGGCCGCATGATAAGTGAGTGGGGCTTTGCTTTGAGGAAGTGGAGGGGCTTAAATAGAAGGAAAATCCAAAACGGATTTCACTCTCTCTCTATCTCTTTAGCTAACTAAATTAATATTTGATTTCCTTGTTTACTTTATTTATATTCTTGCCAAATGCCAATTATTTTTCTTTAAACTGTGTTTAATAAATTGTCTATGCACTCCCATGAGTCCCATAAAAACGTCAAAATACACTCCTCTTGAAGAAGAAAAAAATAATATTATAAGTTTTGGTGGAGCCTTTTGTTTAATTTGCAACAGGTTGAAATCCATGGAAGGTGTACAGTCCACGTATAAACTAGTAGATTATATATGGACATTTCATTGTTCAAGCTATAGGAGGCTTCCATTTTAGCATATTCATCAATAGTAAGTTTGGTTAATATCCAGTGTTACAATTAGTCACCGTAAAAAAGTATTACACAAACAATGTTCATTTTTTGTAAATGTCGTCTTTTAACATAGTTTGTCCTCATATATATTAATTTACCGCTAAGCAGCGCGCAAAACTGCACTCAAGTGTTTGGACGAGGGTGAACATAATAAGCGAGCAAGACAGGAGAAAAGTTTGTTATATTTAGAGTTTGTGAATTGATCTAAGAGATGGAGAATTCTAAATTTGGATAACTATATAACTTGTATTTTGTGTTAAAACATTATTTGTCCGGTAACTTATAATGGTAATGTGACTCAAAGTTAAAAAAATGTAAGAAAATTCAAAACCTTATCGACGTGGCTCTTCTCCCAATAGATAGCTAGCTAGTTAGACTTCAGAGGCTCTCTTCAAAGTACTTGTCCAATGTCCCTTTTTCTTTTCTTAGATCGATTTAATGGAGCTGAATCATTGTAATCCAACTTCGAATCTGTTTTATGAACATGGTTGTTGTCTAGCTTGCGACCAAAAAACATGTAACTAATTAGTCTACTGTTTCGCCATATATATAATTGAGGTGCACCATTGTAATCCTTAATTGTCATTTACGTTTTGTTATTCCTTAATCTTCAATGGGGAGCTAGTTTTATATGTCTAGTTGGTGCTTTTTAGTTATTTTTCACAAAGTGGATATGGGTTCATGAATTTTGACGCGAATCAGTCTGAAGTTGTACGCTTTTGGATTATGTACAAAAGGCAACATTTCTGTCTGTCTAGGATTTTGTACACTTTTGGTGGTGGGAGAGTACAATTTGAACTTGTATTTCCAGGACACACATACCGTACGTTACAAACTGTAAAAAGTCATTATTGTACTATAGAAATACAGTAGAAATTAGTAGTTCACAAATAGCCCACAAAGCTAACTAGGAACCCTCCCCTTGTCCGGTCGACATTCCATGGCATGCAATGCAATTGTTAGTGAACCATGTAAATTGTGTGTCATGTGCTTCTGTTTTTCGTTTTCTTACTTTGTCGATTTTGACGATTTCCTGATCCGTAACAACGCAATTTTAACAACACATGTTGCAATACAACTTCTCAGCCTTTCTCGAGCATGGATCGACATAGGAGTGTACTATGATCATGAGGTCGACATGCCGGCCGATGATCCACCTCCACTTGAAGCCTGCATCGCAACCAAACTCCACAATTGCATTGCATGCCATGGAATGTCGACCGGACAAGGGGAGGGTTCCTAGTTAGCTTTGTGACCTTGGAGTTGGATTCTAGTTTTCTTTTTGTTAATATAATTATCACCATTATCAAAAAAAAAAAACAATTTACATGGTTCACTAACACAATATGTGTTAGCTAGTCCACAGGCAGGAGAGAGTCAGTTTCACTATATCGAGAAAATTACAGATTACAGAGGAGATGAGAAGTATTTATAATATTTCTCCTAGCTAGGTCTAACCCAAATCCAATATGGTAAAAGAAAAGCGGTTACAACCAGGTTCAGAACCCGAACTCAAATAACATTGAGTAGTCGTAGCGGCTGATAGTCCAATTCTATTCACATCAACATGTGTGTCAAGACCAAGGTGAATTTTCTTGTTGATTGTCTAGTGTATTTATAAGATGTGTCATTTTATACCTGTTGGGATCCCATGAATATATAGTTAGTTTTTATATATAGTTTTATTATAATCGAGAGGATGAATTAGATACACTTTTTGTGACGACCATGTATAGTTAGTTTACATATCTAGCTCTTTGATCAGACATTGGCTGATGTATGAAGAGATTGTACGTTTAAATAATATTGAAGGGCATCTGCTACGGCCACCCTTTTCACCAATAAATATAAGCCACATGACATGATACATGTATATTGCTTACTCTCACACACAAGCCTAACAACTATATGTGAACCGAAAATTTTGTTTGTTTGTAAAAATTAGTTAATAAGCAACATGTCAATGACCGGTTATAGATATATACATATAGTTAGTTGTCAAGTCACTTGTTTTAATTTGTTGATTTGTTTATCAAGGCTGTTCAAAGAGTATTAAGGGAATATATTATGTATATATAGTTATATACCCAATTAAGCAAAACCATCACATATATATTGTATTACATGAGAAGGGTCCAAGAACAGTGGAACTCGCACACAAATTAAAAATGAGTGCCCTAATTAATTTGGTGAGGTTGGAGGGCTTACATTACATGTCTCTATAACTAGGTGACTTCTGCCAAGAACCAAGATATATGTTTTGGACCTAACTCCAACTACTTATGTACGCTTCTAGCCAGCTAGCTAGCTGTTTCGTTTGATTTTTTTTTTTAAGGGTGTATCAGATATTGTTGACGTCGATCGATCGAATACATTTAGAAGATTTGTACGAATGACTGAATATGTAGATGGCTATTTATATAAGTTTATATGAATTATGTATATAAGCCGTTAAATAGACAAAATTTTAGATGATATTTCAAAGAGGGGACTTGAACCTCAACTTGTAAGGATATTGGACTCCTAACATTAGGGGGAAAAAGCCCTCATATAACTACAATATTCTCATTGGTTGGGTTTGTGGATTGGCAACCAAATACGAAAACTTGACTGAAAATGCCATTTTACCTAAATATTTGGTCAACATTGATTCCTGCATTTTCGATCGGGGATACATAATTCTAATTAAGCAAACCCTCATTAGGTTTTTCACTAGCTGCGAAGCAAAGCCATCCTATATTGATCTTTATGATTTTTGTATACGGATAATATGCCCAATATTATGTTTGGAAGCTCAAAATTACATAAGCTGCTATGTAAGAGAACTGTCTAGCTACTCTAGTCTAACTGTGTACAATAATAATTCGCAGACTGAGAGTTTGAAGTTTGTGTTGCATCGCCATATCGATCTGATGTCGAAATCAATTTCCAATGGTTATACTAAAGATTAAATTAAATTCTCTCTAACCTCTAGTAAGTTATGTTACTATTACAAGACACCAAAGAGGTTGATTATACACTCCGTACAATATTTAAATGGGTTTCAAAGAAGAAGACTTCAATCATACATGGGGAAAAACTACATTCGTTAGAAAAGACTTCATTCTCCTCATCAATCATTAATTTGATTGTGTGAATGGTGCAATTGATCAACAATAAGTTGAAACATTGATATGGACACAACACTAGAACTCTTGTGTTAAAGCTATACCAATTGGTGACAAATCATGGCAAGTTAGTAGTCTTAGGATTTAGGTCACCAGCCCCCATTAAGTTCTCCTACTATAACTCATTGAAAATCACCAACTTTATGATCACCACCCACAACAACAAAGAAGAAAACTACATCACTAATTAATTAATCAATTAGAGCACTTAATTTCAAACTTTGGGGTATATAAAACAATAAATATATGCCAAACAGTCAAACACACTCCCATGCAGCCCTTTTTTTAAAGTGTAATAAGTCCACCGGTTTGAAATTGACACGTCCCCTTTCTCTTAATAAGTCCTTTGTTACTTGTTAGGGAAACTAACATTATGATCTTAAAGTCATTATTCTTTTTTTATTTTTTTTACCACTTTGTTACCTAATATTTTGACATGCATGCTAATGAATTATTCTTATTTTTTTTTTCCTGTGCTTTGGTTGGTTAGTACTTAGTAAAAACCTCACTAGCCATGGATGACTTTTTGAAGACTTCCAACCAAGCTATAGACAAGTCTCTCAGTAACCCAATCGACGATGAAAAGATATAATTAGCTGATTAATTAGTTCAGGGGTAAAATAAAACAAACTGACGAGAGGCATATGCATGCATGATGCCAGGCTTATGTGCGACGTGACGACATAATATTTCTCTCCAACTTGTTTGACATTTTTTATTTTTATAAAGCATAAAATAAATGAAAGACTTTGAATTTGTGGCTTGATTAGGCTTTCTCTCATCTCATCACCACTACTCCCCACACGTGTGCCTGTCTTGTACCATAGTAAGGACTTTCTAGTTTCTAAGAACTTTGAATAATTCCTCGTCACAGAAAATAAAAAAAAAAAAACTGATTGAATTTCTAAGGTTGAAAAACAAGAATATCATCATATACTCGGTTTCTCAATGTCGCCTACATTTTAATTTGACAAGATATCAATCCTTTTCCATGTATTGATCATGAAAACATTCATTGAAAGCAGGGGCGAAGCCAGGAATTCAAGTTCGGGGGGGCCACAAAAAATTTTCAAACAAAATAATACTATAAGCAAATATAATTTATTATTTTAAACGTATACGGCGTCTTTGAGATTAATCACATCACTCAAAATACTACCTATTCGGAAAGGGTTGATTATATCTCGTTCAATATAAATAACAAGACCACCGGCGAGAAAATCATCACTCATTTGTTGCGTAGTTTAGTTACTAATTGCATGACAGAAAAAGCCTGTTCACCACTAACAGTAGAGACTAGAAGAGTCAAAACAAAACTAATAATCTAACGGGTAACACTTTCTTACAAGATCGCATAGCACAGTACATACATACTAGGTTAGTTGATAATCCAATAATTAAATACAAAAGAAAATAAAGCATTTGTATAAATTTCGTCTAAAGTGGAACTAAAGCCAAAAACTGAAATAACAGATAATAGATATTGAAATTTGTACCTATATTGAGGTTCTTATTTAGTAAGCAGATAGAAGGTAGAAAACGTATATGAAGAGTAAAAATAAAAGATGGGCTACCATAGTACCTGAACTGCTGACCTTTAGGTTACCATCAGCAACTTCCACCACTACACTATAACTAGATTCATGTCATGCTTCTACCACTACCCGTTATTATTTGCGTTCTACAAATTCCCGGGGGGGCCATGGCCCCCCCGGCCGCTGCACTGGCTCCGCCCCTGATTGAAAGTCTTGTTTAATTTGTCAATGTATTTTTTCTTAGGTTGTATGCTAGATGTAGATGAAAAAATCAAGAAAAGTTTGCCGTTTAACTGAGGTTTTCTTAAAGATACTATTTCAATCTTAAAAAAGAGAATAATTATGGTCGTAAAATTGTTGCATATGGCGAATATTTTTCATATTTTAGACAATGCTCCGCCTAAAAAGCGAAAAACTCCCTATAATAGTTAGCGTTATGGTATTGGAAACATGTAAAATATCTTGAACAAAATGATGGATATTGTAAAATTTATTTCACAACTCTCATTATTTCAACCGATTAAGATCTTGAAATAGTTCTGATTTCTACTTTTCTAGATGTACAAATATGTTTATTATTTATTTCAACGAAGACTAGTTCATAATTTTTAGTTTGTTTGTATATTCTTTCACATTAAAATGGCCTTATTGCATTTCATTAGACAAACTATCATAGATATAAAAAAGTCATTACGATATATATAATGAAGACGAATATTATCAAATTCATATATAATCAGTGCTCATGTGGCTTTTACATCCCTCGTCGTCAAAGACCATTGGCGACGATTTGGCCAAAGCTATGCCAAAATGAGCCTAAGCTTGAATAATTATATAACAAATAGCAACACGTATACAAATACAATCAAGCAAACTCGACTTTAAAGCGTCGACTTAAGTTTTGATACCAACTTACTTACCAAGTGCCAACAGACAAACGAAAGTGGTGCGCTCGTCGCTAAACTCTCATGCCAGTCGCTAAAAAGTAGTATGCTCAAAACAAGACAACATAAGCAAATGGCGCCCAGCTCGGAATAAAACGTTGTTTTACGGGTCGGGATGTAAAATGCATCCGGCCCAGTTAGTGAGAAGATTTCATCAGGCCCAGTTAGTGAGAAGGGTGGAAAAGTAGGTAGTGGAGGAGAGAACCCACAATTATCCACTAAATTCATTCTACCATCGGCCCAGTAGTCATGGTCCATACAGAACAGAAGCTGACCAATCAGGCCGAATCATTGAGAACAATTCTCTAGTCCCGTAGGCCCATTGGCAAAGGGCAAAAACAGGAGGACCGGTGCGGTGGTCGAGACGAGAACCACTCTAGTTTCTATAATTATCAATCCACACTCCACATCCCGCTCGCTCACTCTATGCGAAAGTGACTTCACTATCATCCCTCTCTCTGCTTTACTTCACTCCCTTCCCTTCCCTTCCATGGATGGAAAAGCGAGCATGGTCCCTTTCCTCTTCTTCACCTTCTTCCTCTCCCTCTCTTCATCCCACCCGGCCCCACCCCTCCAATCTCAAACCCTAGTCCTCAATCGCCTCCCTTCCCCTCCTCAATCCCTCTCCTGGTCCGACGCAGACGAAGAATCCCAGCCCTTAACTTCATCGCCCGGCGGCGGAGATCCGGGATCTGCAGACTCCATTTTCTCCGTTCAGCTGCACCATGTCGATGCTCTGTCGTCCAACACAACTACGCCTCAGCAGCTCTTCAATTCCAGGCTCCTCCGCGATGCTTCCCGTGTCAAGAGCATCGAATTCGTCTCTGCTGCCGCCGTCGGCAGAGGAGCTGCTGGAGCTGGATTCAGCAGCTCAGTGATTTCCGGACTCGCGCAAGGCAGCGGTGAGTACTTCACACGCCTCGGCGTCGGCACTCCGCCGAGGTACGTGTACATGGTTCTGGATACAGGGAGCGACATCGTTTGGCTCCAGTGCGCTCCCTGCAAAAAGTGCTACTCCCAAGCCGACCCGGTTTTCGACCCGAGAAAGTCCAGCTCATACGCCGGGATCCCTTGCGACGCTCCGATCTGCCGCCGCCTGGATTCCCCAGGCTGCAATTCCAGGAAGAAGACGTGTCTCTACCAGGTCTCGTACGGGGACGGTTCCTTCACCACCGGCGATTTCTCCACCGAGACGCTGACGTTTCGCAGGACGCGCGTCGCGCGCGTGGGGGTCGGGTGCGGCCACGACAACGAGGGCCTGTTCGTCGGAGCGGCGGGTCTGCTGGGGCTCGGGCGGGGAAAGCTGTCGTTCCCGTCGCAGACCGGCCGTCGATTCAACCGGAAATTCTCCTACTGTTTGGTGGACCGGTCGGCGTCGGCCAAGCCGTCGTCGATGGTGTTCGGCGACAAGGCGGTGTCCCGCACCGCTCGCTTCACGCCGTTGATTTCAAATCCCAGGCTGGACACGTTTTACTACGTGGAGCTTCTCGGGATCAGCGTGGGCGGTACACGTGTCCCGGGGATCACGGCGTCTCTTTTTAAGCTCGATCCGACGGGGAGCGGCGGGGTGATCATCGATTCGGGTACCTCCGTAACCCGACTGACCCGACCCGCGTACGTCTCCCTTCGCGATGCGTTCCGGGTTGGGGCGGGGAACCTGAAGCGGGCTGCCGACTTCTCTCTGTTCGACACCTGCTTCGATCTGTCGGGGAAGACGGAGGTGAAGGTGCCGACTGTGGTCCTCCACTTCCGAGGCGCCGACGTGTCGCTGCCGGCGTCGAATTACCTGATCCCCGTGGACACCTCCGGCACGTTCTGCTTCGCGTTCGCCGGTACGATGAGCGGGTTGTCGATCATCGGGAACATTCAGCAGCAAGGGTTCCGGGTCGTGTACGACTTGGGCGGGTCGAGGATCGGGTTCGCTCCTCGTGGGTGCGCCTGAGCTGGCGTCCATTACTCCATTGTGGTCGAAGAAGCCATGGAAGTAGTAGAAAAGGAGAGATTTTTAGCTGGCATCCCACTGTGTTACTCCGAGAAATAGATTATCTCATTCCCGCCTTTTTGTTATTGTAATAGTTTGGCTCCTTTTCTCGGAAATGAAGCTGTGAAATGGATCTGATTTCCATGTTCGATATAAAAGCTTTGGCAGCTTAGCAGCATAGCACAACATCCACAAGTGTTCGAGCAACAATGTCGCTCTCAGTCTAATACGTTAATGTCGACATATCATCATCCATCAACGCCATAGCTAAATATTCGGCACAGCCAAAACAAGGAGTTCATAATATTATATATTGCTCTAATAGTTTTAGCAGAATAGCAGCATAACACATCATCATCCACAAGGGTTTGAGCAAAAGAGTATGCAAATATGACAGGAACAATGGCACGGTCTGATAAGTTAACTCGCTTATGACAATCATCATCATCGATCAAAGCCATAGCTAAATTCTCAGAAAAGCCGAACCAAAGAGTTCACAAACACTGAATCCTAAGAACTACTACCGCCCCTAAGGGCAAGCACCAGATGAAGGACGGAGCCTCCTTCAATGTTGTAGTCGCGAGCCGTCTTGTCATCTGCCAGCTGCTTCCCTGCATATATGAGCCTGCAAATCGAAGAACAACAGTTTACATGTCAATGTATATAAAATGGAGTGTCGGTGGTGCAAAGAGTTTGTGCATATGATATGAATGTTTCTATTTGTTTGCCTTATGCTCCTAATCGAAGGCAAAATGAGGTTATTATAATTGTACTATAAAAAGCAAGACGATATTTTGAACGTATAACTCAAAACTAGCTGCAGCTGTGACACGTGAATCTTGCGTCTTCTGTGTCTGCTTGTTTGAGCTGTGGCTATAACACTTGAATCTCGTATCTTCTGTGCTCGCTTGATTTATCTACTTCCCTCGTGTCCTAAGAGTATAAAAAATCTAGAATTGTTCGAATTCTTGTTGCGTAAACAAGGTAACAACACAAACAATGGCAGCCAAGTTCATAACTGAAACAAAAACCAGACCAACCAAGAGTTTTTTAGTGCAAGGCCCCGAATGAAGGATTTTACTAACCGTTGCTGGATAGGAGGGATTCCTTCCTTCTCCTCAACTCGTTCCTTGATTCGGTCGATGGTATCATTGGGTTCAATGTCAATCTCAATCTCTTTCCCAGTGAGGGTCTTGACCTTGATCATGGTGCCTCCCCTGAGTCTCAAAACCAAGTGAAGTGTGGACTCCTTCTGAATGTTGTAATCAGCAAGCGTCCTTCCATCTTCTAGCTGCTTACCGGCAAAAATCAACCTCTGCTGATCTGGCGGAATCCCTTCCTTGTCCTATAAAAAGATTCAACCACCAATGATCCATTAAGTAACCCAACAATCAAAGCCCAAACCAGAAAATAAGCCAGAGTAAGCAATTCATTTATCACAACTGCAGATTCCAACTAAACTTGAAAGTGATCGAACCCCAAAATGGAAGAGTTCTCTATGGGGCATATATGGGAGAAGCAGCAATAGCTTTCCATCCTAAGCTAAAAGCTTCGAGAGTATAAGCATCAAAGATAATACACTCTTACAAGTTATAATGATCTTACTAGCTCTAGTCCAATCTATAGGATCAAGTTACATTCAAAGACGCAGCAAACAGAATATGTTCCGACTATCACTACTAAAGATACCTGCTCCAATCATGAATGTTCTACTATCATATAAACAAAGAAGTGTTCTGACTTGCATTATCTACTAATCATGTAAAAGATATTACCTTTTCAACTCTTATCCTATAAGTTTCTGAAAATACGCATTAAACAACATATGTTCTACCTCGCGCTACTAATCTTAATTGCTACTAATCTAATAAATAGATTCGGCGAAAAGTCGAGGATCAGAATAAACCCAAAGAGAACGAGTTTCTACGAACCGTATAATATGCCAACATTTTCCCGGTTCCAGCCTATAAGCTTGTGAAATATAACACCAAAGACTATGTTCTAAGTTCCAACTTAAAATACTAATCTTACTTGCTCCAATCGATTTAAGCTCCATAATCTAAAACCGATCATACCATTGGTCTAGCACATGCCCAAGACAGAGTTGGCCATCATGAACAACAATCTCAATTGGACAAATGAACTAAAGACGACTCAAATATCCAGTCTCATCTTCCGACGGCACTACGACGTTCAAAGCTCAAATTACTGACTCGAAGCTCCAGAATTCAATCCCGAACACTAAACCGAAACCATTCAGCGACCCACTAGAGGAACAATAGAGAGACCGGGAGAGAGAGAAAAGGGAGACCTGAATCTTTGCTTTGACGTTGTCGATGGTGTCGCTGCTCTCGACCTCGAGAGTGATGGTCTTGCCGGTGAGCGTCTTGACGAAGATCTGCATCTCCTTTCTTTCTGCCTTCCTTTGGTTCGAAGCCCTGAACTGAGTTCGGAATTAAGGAAAGCAGAAACCACCGCCAAACAACGCCGGCGGCAAATAGCGGGAGAAGAGCGGAGAAGAGGGAAAACTCGTCAGTTCGCGTCAATCGGGATTTCGGGAGATAGAGGACTGTTTTGTTTTTTTATTCGCTTTTATAAAATTGGAGGAGAATAAATTATTTGGAGCAGGTGGTGGGTGGGCCCCATTCTGTCATTCCCGTTCCCATCTTCGTAGCGTAGGAGAAACGAATGGGCCCGGGCCCGTCTGCTCCCCCTCAAGTGGATTCCCTTGAGGATAATTACGACCCAAGCCCAATAATGGGATGGGCCCACATCTCCATTCTCCACTTCTGTTCCATGGTCATAATAATTATCTTTTTAATAGTTTGCAGGTATATTATCAGTTTAGTACTAGGGGAAGTTGCGCAAAGAAAATAAGTAGTAAATATTTTCACAAATTTGGTGGGTGAATAATGGTAATAATGGGTTTTCGTTGTGAAAAAATTAGGGAAACAAGTACTTCCCCTCAGCAGAGTCCAACTTATTGCCCCAACAAAAGCAGTCCTGTTGGTTTTTTACCTAATTTGGATGGGAGGTGAAACATTGGAGTCACTGCTTCTTAATGGCTAGATTAGTTTCACTTGAAGTTGCAGCTCGGAAGTGAATGATGGAAAGCGCTCTATTATTGCCTGATAATAATAATAATAATAAAAAGATTATATTATCATAGTACCAATAAATGAGTTGTGGTGCTAACAATGGACTCCATTTATAGAACTGTTTTTCAGGTAGGGTTTTCATTAATTTTAGATGTAGTACTGATGGTTTCATTTTGTAACTTGACCTGGTAGGTCTCAGTGAATTGATCCATCTCCTCACTAATAATGTTGTCGGCAAAAGTTTGAATTTGAAAAATGACAGAAAGAATCATTGTTGTGAGTGTGCACACTAACTCTTTTTTTTTTTTAGTAAAGTTTCACACCGAATTCAATATTAATATGTTTCTTTGTAAACATGAGCATATATGTCTTGTCTTCTCGTTCAACATTCTGAACTCTCTTTCTTTTGGATTAGTAGGAGGCTGAAGCCAAAGAAGGAGATTCCAATGGAAGGCTAGGGGGAAAACAAAGAGGACGAGGAGATTGGGGATTCACCACCACTTGGTATTGCAAAGAGATGCTCTACGACCGTCATTAAGGATCACCATCATTACAATGGCATGTTAGCAAGCTCAAGCATATTATTAGAGTATGTGTAGTACGGGTAGTATTATGTTATACTACGAGTATCGGTATGCAATTAGGCAGAGTTATATTTCTTATCAGAGTCGTATAAGTTAGGTAATTTCCGTATATGTGTTAGGGTTATTATAAAAGTTAATATTTGTACTCTATATAAACCCTATGTGATTTCGGTAATAATACATAACAGTTTCCACCGAATTCTGATTTCCCAACACATATAGCATAGATGAATAAACTTGTAATTCGAGAGAGACGGGTAGTGACTCTATTTTTCTTTTCAAACATCCCTCTACTGTAATAAGAGGTCGTTGGAGCCTGGAGGGATGATGAGAGCCTCATCCAACGAGTGGGAAGTTACAAATTGGTTGGAAGATATATTAAATATGATGTTGGAACGGGAAGAAGAAAGAAGTTTTTGTTACGGGTGATATTAAATGCTTGCACCTTCCTATTCCGGTATTCCCCATCCACATTAATTCAAAATCCTAAAGTCATTGAATTGCACCCAACCAGCCTAACTAAAACGCATGCACTTCCCCTCTCTATTCTATGTTTCTATTTTAACTAATGAATGGTCATGTGTATTAAATATTAATTGAATCTTAGATAAATAAAAGCAAACGTTTGACCTGCCCATGCTAGCACACCAAACGGATGACCAGGGTACTTTGGAAACCAAACGAGAGTTCTCTCCATGAAGGCCACTTATAATACCACGAGATAAATAGAAAGTGAGAGACCAACTGCAGGCTTGCAATTAAATTGAATATATATTGAAAGTTAATATTATTTATGTGAATGAAATGAGTCTTGGTCTTGGAGATCAGATAAATCGCACATGAAAGGATCCAGATCGAGTATCGATGATATGCAGACCATTTGACAAGTTATGGCTCGAAAATGTGGATTGTTGGCAAGTTGATTGTTTTGCATAATATATGAGCACTTCTACTATACTATATAGTATTGGTGCTTTAATGTACAACTTAAAGTTGTACCATAGCATTAAATGTATAAGTTTAGGTTGTACCATAAAGCAATTTGTACCATTATGTTATGGTACAACTTTACAACTTGAAGTTGTACCATCACATAAATGTACAAGTTCAAGTTGTACCATAAAAGAATATATACAAAAAGTATAGGTACAACCTGAAGTTGTACCATAACATTATTGTACAATTTTAAGTTGTACCATAAAGGGAAAAACCTATAGCACCAATACTATATAGCATTGTAAAATTTCTCATAATATGTAGGTGATAGATGACCAACTTTTAAGTTGAATATGAACGTATGGTAAATGGGCATTAGATGCTCGAGTGGTGAGTTCGTGACATGTCATTTGGTATTTAAGGTGGGTTGAATGAAAATCGATATAGTCGGTTTGAGTTACATTTCATGTAATTTTATTTAAATTGTTATCTGTATGGATAAAATATGAGATAGACTAGTATATTCACTTCAATTAATTATGATTTTGATTCATATATGTCCCTTCTATCATTAAGTTAACTGGAGTGGCTAACCACTAATTGTTAGTTTAGAGATGAGAACTCTAACAAATATAATTGGAGTCACTATTATCATAGTTACTCCAAAATTGGGTAGCAAATCTAAAAAATTAATAATTTAATCTTTGTTTCTTATCATTCGACTCAGGGGCGGAGCTACATTGTAGCTAAGGTGGGCCCGGCCCCAGGATTGGTCCCGACCCCTAGGTTTTTGAGGATATTTAGTACAAATTTGATAAGTAGAACTTGTTTTGTAAATTTATTATGTAATAGTTATATGGTCTAATAGTAGCAAAGCTTAACTTATGTCTTAAAATACACGGGTTCGATTCACATTAGTTACATAATTTTTTTTTAATTATTTTCGACCCCGATCTCGAAATCCTGGCTCCGCCCCTGATTCCACTTGATCCTTGTGTTGTAAAGTTAGAATATTAACTTGGTCTCTATCTAATTACTATCATCACAAATTTCTCTCTCCTCTTCATCACTATCATCATTGTCTCTAACAATCAAATGGTTAATAGTTCAAACAAGTGACTCTAATTCCTTTATATAATACATTGGGAGTGAAGACTTAGAAAATTATACAAGAGCAAATAAAAAATTGTAGCATTAGAACTATCAATAAAATGAAAACAATCTAAACAACTTAAAATCACATATGAAATCACTTCAAATTTGAAGCATTTCCTTTATCCAGAATCTTTACATATATCATAAAATTGTAAAGAGCACTACTAAATAATAAATTTACATGTAAATTTCATAATATATTTTTAAAATAGAATACTCAGATAAAATTTTAGCCATCTTTCCAGACACCAATGATTTATGATTCATATTCACCCTCTCATGTGATTCCTTACTTCATCGCCACTTTGACATTTTGTTTAAAAATATAATAATTACATGTATTTAAAAGGAAAACAAGAAGAGGCCAAAAAATCAAAGAGTGACCCCTCCTCAAACACGCTAAGCATTGATTGAATGAAAGGAAGAAAACAAAAGAGGAAAAATAGAAACAAAAAAAATATATTTGTGGAGTGGAATTTCAAGAGCAATAAATGTAGGGGCCATTTATTTACGTGCCTCCCTTTCCTTTCTTCTCCTTGAATTCTTCTCCTCCATCCGCCCGCCCAACCTCTAAAGTCTAAACCATTAATATTCCACTAAACACACCCGCTCTTCCTCAAAAGCCATTTAATGAAACCATTAATCACAAATCAAACGCTATTAATTTTTGATTTCATAAAGTTTCTTTCGCATTCATTGCCGCTAACCATATTTACTAGCCTCATTATTGAGCCTTACCATTATCTCCCTCTCTCTCTTAATATTTTCCATTACTAGTTTCATTTTGTTGCAAATCAGAAAATACAATGAAAAAGTTACTAAATACACGTGGTTTAACGGGCTGCGGGCCATGAACACGTTGTATGGTAACCGCCACGGGGACAGGTCATGCAAAACCGTATTGGGTTCGTGGTCATAAACAAGCTAGATGCATGGCAACGGTTACGAGTACGTGTCATGTGCGATAATAAATGAATAGGTTCAGTAAGTCAGTTGGCGGTTATGAGTTGCAGGTGAAGATGAGCATGCCGGCCATTTTAGGTCATGGGTCGCTCTATAAGGGCTAACAAGTTTGATTTTGATCTGTAATTAACATAATACTACTCCGTTTTCCTCTTGATTCCCCCCATTTCTGAAATATATTCTAAATGATGAACGTCTTTAAACTTCAATATTGAATTTATTATAATGTTGTTTCATATCTTAGCATTCGATACAATAAATAATGTAGGTTAATAAGGATGTATTTTCCGCGTTTAAAATTTTTAACACTTAAGAAGAAGCAACGAGTTAGCTTGTTAGGATAATGTATTGTGTTTACTTGCATTAAAAACAATTATCGTGTTTACATTGTCTTTTAAAATATTTCTATTTATTTTTCAGACTTTTCTTTTTCAGAATAATTATTTTTTGGTCTTGTCATAATAATATGATAATAACGTACAGCATTTCCATAATACTCGTTAATAATTGCGATAAGATATATACCAAAAGAAGTACGTACGTATCCTCTTGTCTATTTATTACTCAAAATCCTTCCGTTCGTTCATTTCCTTCTCTTCTTTCCTCCAACTCTCTCCCTCTGTCCCTTCTCTCTCTCTCTCTCTCTCTCTCTCTCTCGCCCAAAACCAAAAGGAAGAAGCTTTTCCCTAGCAGAGCTCCGTATGGCGGCCGATGTGAGCTATCTGATCAGGGGTATGAGCGCCTACAAGGACGATCGGGCTGTCGGCGGCGGCGAACCTTCCCTGATTACAAGGGATTTGCTCGGCGGAGGAAGTTCTAGCTCCGCCGTCGGTGGGTCGGAGTGCAATGAGTTTCAAGAATTGGACCTCGACGTCCAAGTCCCCACTGGCTGGGAAAAGCGCCTCGATTTAAAGGTAAACTAAAGCCCCAAACACTCCCCAATGAAATTCCCTTCCTTTTCCATTTTCAGCTTCAGTCTTTCGTCGGGACCAAGCAGAATTCGGTCGAATGTAACGTCGGAATTCAGGCTGGATCGAATGTTTTTTCCATTGTTCTGTTTTTCCATGGCTCTGTTTTCTCAAGTTCTCTCCTTCCCCAACAAAAGTTATCTAATTTTTTTTATGTGTGAAATTTAATTATCATTATTATCGTATTATTATTGAATTGTACGACAATTCGGAATTGAGATTAAATCTTTTTTATTTTTGTTTCTTTGAGAAGAAGTATTGAGTAATTTAGTTGGGCGGGAGTCATTAATGACGGGGTGGGAAGATTTGGGGGGATATTTTGATAATGTGGAAATTAATGAATGGTGTTCTTGAATGCTCTGCAACTTCTTTAATCCCACCCTAGATGTGATTACTATGATTCCTTTTTACTCATCGATCCCCAAACTCATTTATTATCATTTGTCTCTCCCAAACTCGAATTAATGGTCAACCGAAAAAAGAAGACCCAACCAAACTTCAATTCATTCATCCTCATCCATGTGGGAAAAAATTAGTGAACAATGCGGAGTAGTTCCTTTTATTGAAGAATTAATTTGTGGAGACACTCTGTTTTTGTTGATTTGGTTTGGTTGCAGTCAGGGAAGGTGTACTTGCACAGAAGCAACGCATCATCAGCTTCGCCGTCGTCCTCGTCCTCCTCCGATCACCGACACCATCACAACCTCAGCCAAGCGTTCCCCAAGCTCCAGGATTTGAACTTCCCGCCGTCGTCATCGAGAATCACGCTCAACCTCTTCGAAGAGAGCAGCCTGGAGCTGAGACTGGCAGCCGCCGCTTCCACCTCCTCCTCCTCCCTCAACTACCAGAGCGTCTGCACTCTGGATAAGGTCAAATCAGCCTTGGAGAGGGCGGAGAGGGACTCTGTTCACTCGACGGCGGCGGCGATAAGGAAGCGGTTTCCGGCGGGGAAGTCGTCGCTGTCCCCTTCTTACTCGTCGTCGTCGTCTTCCGTCAGGGAGCTGGCTGCAGGGGAGGAAGAAACAGAGGAGAGGGCAGGGGCAGCTTCAGCTTCTTCCCCTGTGGCGGCGGGGTGCCCTGGGTGCTTGTCGTACGTGTTGATCATGAAGAACAATCCCAAGTGTCCGAGGTGTAACTCGGTTGTCCCGATGCCGCCGATGAAGAAGCAGAGGATCGACCTCAACATCTCCATTTGAAGGCGGCGGCAGTAGGAGGAAAGAGTGGGGGGCTTTTTTTTTGTAAATGGATAGATAGGAATTAAGATTTAGGGATTAAGACAGGGGGTGGGTTATATTAGGAGGGAAGGGGTATAAGAAAAAAAACAAGGATTTTAATTATTATGATGGTTGATTAATGCATATAAACTATGGTTATGGAGTCTATAATGCGCGCTGGTGTTTTTTTGTTTGTTTGTTTGGGTTTAATTATTGTTCTTTGTGGGATTTTCTCGATCGGTTTCTTTTTGGGTCTGGAAGTTTGTTTGTTGAGAAGGTGCGGTTGGATTGCATATAAGATTATTTGGTCCTAGATTGCGTTGCGGACTTGCGGGTAGATGCGCGGGCAAAATCCTAGTAAGACTGCAGTGGCAGTTTCAGTTTCAGTTTACAGGGACTGGAAGGTGAAAAATAAGCTGAATAACAATACAAAAAGTGGGAGGGGCAGGGGAGCAATAAATAAGTTGGATTTAAAGTGAGATGTTATGTCATATTCATATACATGCATGTATTACTTACATTTCTGTGCGATATTTGGATCAAATCAAAATTAGGGTGGGGGTGTATCATTTGCTTAGCAACTTGATGAATTGGAAACCAAATTGTACGAGAGATTGATGAATTCGGATATATTTGTTTGAGTGAGCCTTTGCTTGATCTGTGAAGATATAATATTTATGATACCTTTGCATTCTTTTATGCATGAAAAGAAGGAAGGCAGGTAGGTAGTTACAGCCATCTTGTTTGTGTAAACTAACTGACGACTGGCAATTATATATGTAGCTCTCTACCATAGCTAGCTAAGCTTCTTGACAGTCTTTATGTACATAATGGTAATCAGAGAAGCTCTTTTACTTTTAGCCAAAATTTTCCGTTTCTGGGGGTGGGGATGGGGAAGTAAAATGCCCATATAGGAAGGAAGGAAGGAAGGAAGTGAAGTGAAGTAAAGGGTATAGAGGAATTAATGCAAGGGATGGGGACGTATATCCACGAACCATTATGATTTATGACCACTTTTGACAATTTAACAGACTATTAAATTGATTTGCTCACCAAATTCATGTCTATTATCTCATCTGGACCAATAAATATCTTTCTATGAAAAACGAAAATTGAAAATCTTCACTCCCTATACTATTTTGTTTTAGCAAACGGCCGGGTTCTTCTTAATTATACGCACCAACATATATATATACACTTGTAGTTCGATCAGTGGCATCAAAGGATCTCTTATGAAAGTCTTCTTAGTTCTTTCCCTCTTCGTAACTTAAGACTATAACCAACACATAATTAAACCCATCATTTTAATTATTACAGGATCTGATGAGGAGCATGTATATAAATAAATGTATGAAAAGCACTTGCACCCACCTCAGTACTATTCTGCACTTGGCCGGGTTTCAATTCAAATGACGAGAGAGGGAGAGATGGATAATAATATTTGCTGTTGCTGTTAAATGTAGTTGGGCTTTGAAGGAGGGTAGTGGTAGTAGTGGTGCATGACTGATCATGAAGGCTAATTATGGCCATTTACTAGGCACCCAAATTCATTTAATATTACCTAACTTCACAATAAATGAGAAATTAATGGCTTTGCTCTTCTTCTTCTTCTTCTTCTTTCTTCATCATCATTCTCTGTAAAGTTACTCCCCAACTACCTTTTTTCTTCTTCTCATTACTCGTTTCACTTCCCATATTCTCAGCTGGTTTTACTTTCCATTCACTGCATACAAGTAGCACCTCCAACATATCAATATAGCATCTTCCCCAAATCATCAGGGTTTCTTTGTTTTTCATACCATAAGCAATTTCTGGGCATACATACTTTGGATTTTTATCATCAATGTTCTAATGATTCCTCCAACACAGAGCTAACAATATAACTATTCACTTCATGACATGTCGATATCAAAGTCACCGAGCACATACATATGGTTCAATACAAAGAATATAAATTAGAGATAGGACTTTGAAGGAGTGTCTTGTATTTAGTCGAACCACGTTACTTTTCTGAACAAATAAATGAGATTTGGGTCTTCTTAGTAATTGATTTCTCCTTGTAGTTTTCGTACATTTAACTTGCAATATTTGGCGTAATTGGTCTCGAATAATTTTGTAGACTTAGAAATCAATCTACACATATCAAATACTTCCCAACTCTATTCACGAGTTTTAAATCAGTATTATTTTATAGTAGACGATTAATTTAGACAAGATTAAAATATAACAGGATATTGTAAAAGGAAGAAACAAGAAAGTTCTGTCAGTCACTTGAGTAAGAGATCGCTTGTGTAACTTCTAGGTTTGCCTCGATCACTTGAAGATTGGTTTCCATCTCTTTGTGCATGCACCTCCTATGTACGAATCTGTGGTATATTTTTGTGCTTTGGCACAAGAGAAAATGGTAGGAAGACAAGTCATAGTTGGGTGTTGACTTAGCTTTAGCTTGTAGGACAAGGTGGACTTTGTAGAAAGCTAGTAGGTTAAATAACGCGAGCAGTAACACACGCGTACTATCCAAGTCGACCATATATGTACAGTGCCGTTTTCTGCACCTAGATCGTCGTTTTACACATGTGGGTATTCAAGGGACTGCCACCAGATGATGACCATTCGATCTCCCTCGATCGACCCTTATTTAATTAACTCCAAAAGGGATGATCGAATTAATGAACAAATTAAAGTATGTAACATTAAGACAGACTGTTTCTGGGTAGATCATTTATATATAAGAGAGGCAAAGCGGCTGAATTGAACTCACTAGCTATCTCGTGGCTCCACGACCAGGACCAGGAGGAAGAAAATAATTAAAGGAAGAATTAAAGGATCAAATTAAAGCAAACACATGCACAGACCAAATATATTTTTATGTACATTCTAGTGTATTCATCTCATTTGCCTACCTTGTTAATTATAGTTCCTGGCCTGCTGGTGCTTAATTATTATTAATTGCACCTTCCACGTACATTCATTGCTCCTCCATTCATCAGAATCAGTCATCTTTATTAACGACCATCAATTCTCATGTCAAATTCAGCAGCTTGCTAGGAGGATTACAAATTCAGCAGCTTGCTATAGATGCTCGAGCCAAGCAGAGACAATACTTCATGTGCTTAGGGACTGCCCGCCAGCAGCGTTTTTCTGGGCGAGGACAGTACCAGCTGCTGATCAGCATCTCTTTTTCAGTCTGCCGGAGAAAGACTGGGTGAAAGCCAACATCATGAAAGAAGATCTGTCTCCTTCAGGTATACCTTGGAATGCTCTCTTCGGTATCTCCATCTGGCTTCTGTGGAAGAACAGGAATGAAGGCTGCTTTCATGGGATCAACAAAACCCTTTCCCCGAGCTCTCTCACTCAGGCGATCAACATCAAATCTAAGCTGTGGTACGATGCTTGGGCGGCGCCGAGGGTGGACATGAGAAGAGGAAATCTTCCTGCTCAGCGCGAGCAGTTGGAAATAGGCTGGAAGCCGCCTCCCCATGGCTGGTTGAAACTGAACGTTGATGGAGCTTCAAATGGCAACCCGGGGCTAGCTGGAGCAGGCGGTGTGATCCGAGATCATGTTGGAAGGTGGGTGGCTGGTTTTTGTGCGAATTTGGGAGCTTGTACAGCCGCGCTGTCGGAGCTTTGGGCGCTTTTTCATGGGCTGTCCTTGGCGTGGAAGGAGGGTTGCAGAGCCCTCCAAGTGGAATCGGATTCAAAGTTGGCTCTGGAGTTAGTGGAAAAGCGTACAGACCCCGTGCATCCCTATGCGACCCTTTTAGCTGCGATTCGGAGACTATTGGCTAGAGACTGGGTGGTACGACTCTCTCATACATACCGAGAAGGGAATAGAGTCGCGGACTGGCTCTCGAAGCACAGTCTCGTCTATCCCTACGGTATGTATGAATTGTCGAATCCACCCAATGAGCTTTATAGGATCCTAAATGATGATGATAGGGGCATTACTTTCACCCGTAGCGTGGTGATTACGCCTTCCCCTCCCCCTCTGTAATCTCCCTTCCCCCCTCTTTTACCTCTGTTTCTTTGGCTTTACGCCTCCCCTGATGCAAAAAAAAAAAAAATCAATTCTCATGTCAAAGGGATCGGATGAACTTTTCTCTATATTCATATGGAGGGTTAATGATGTTTTTAGTCCTTGTACTTTATATGTACTACACTTTATATGATGTTAAAAAAAAAAAAAAAACTGTATATGATATTTAGAAGACAACGACTTATATTATATCTATATATATTATTTTGGTCGTAAGAAAGAATGATCAGATGATGTAGGATATCCGAGAGTATAACTAAGGAGCAACCTAGCTAAAACATCCATCATAAAATACGAAGTTAATTATGATCTGTGATGTGCTTGTGAAGTATGAGTCGTATTTTGATAGGCTCACAAAATAGTGGAAAATTTTATAAACAGGTTTATGAAAAATAATAGTATATATGTATTTCTTGAAATGGCAAAATCTTGCAATTGAAATGGCATTAACATGATGTAATATTATGATAATAATGTTCCAAGCATATACAAAATTTAACTTATCGTGTAAGTATACAAGATAAATTCTATATATGTTTAACAACTTTTAAACTTACACTTTAAACAATGGTGGTTCATTATGGATCGAATAATTGAAAACCGACACCAAATTTAGTTGGCATATTAAATGAATGAAAAAGGCATTTACCTAAGCATTTGACGAGTACAATTCTATGTGCATGCCATATATTAAATTTTGAAAACCTAATATTAAATAGTAATACATTTTGTTCTTTTGCTATCGAAAATCTAATATTAAAATAAATGTATACATTGCCATGGGTGTCATAATAGTATTGCATGGGGCATTTAAAGATATAAATACATTTGTACCACCTAACATCCATTAAATGTGTATTCAATTCTGCCCTTCCTTATGTCATCCCTTAAAGTCCCCACCTGCCATATTCAATATTTTGAATGAGAAATTGTCTGCAACAACATAAAAAAATCATTTACATTTATCCTCAATTTTTTGATAATAATATTTGTAAATTTTACATAGAATTTATAAAATTTACAAATCAATGTATATCTCTGTCCAGATTTGCAAACTTATAGCATACACTACTGTATATGTTTCTTTTTGTGATCACATCTTGTAGACTATTATTAAGAATAAACTTAAAACTCGATCATTGAGTCTTCTACATATTATCAACATTCCGCTCGACTACAAATACATTAGTACGTAGTATAGATGGATCGGTTTCATGCATAAGATGAAATTTTGAGAAGGGTATGTCAATGATTCGACACTCTATTTAGAATATAATGGAAATTGTGGGGTTGGTTAATTGGAGTTGATGGTAGTGTAGATGTGAAATTTTGAGGAAAAAATGAGAGGTTGGGGGAGGTGAAATGTCTTGTCTGTTTGTGTTTGGTCTAGACACAAATGGCTGCAAAGTCATTGCCACACCCAACCTCCATCCGTTTGTCTCCAAACTCACTTTTGGTATTATGTATAGTTCTATCAACTATGCGTATATTTAGCTGATAACTACAACGGAGGAACTACCTAGTTAATAAGTGCTTACCCATTGGATATAGTGCAGTGGCGGAGCCAAGATTCTAAACAAGGGAGCTAAAAATCTATGCTCAGAGAATTCGAACTGATGAGGGAGGCTAAAGCCTTACCAACTACTATATTTTCAAAAAGTTTTACGAATTTACATGTAATTTTACGTGATTTTGCGAGATGGGGGGCTATAACCTCCCCTGACATTAAGGTGGCTCCGTCATTGTAATGATTAGATGCGATGACGTTAAATCGGATACATTAATACGTATAAATTTAAGTTATAAAATGGTGAAATGAACCCTCTACTATATGAATTTGAAAAAAAAAACATGTCACATATTAAGTCTTCTGTTTTTTTTTTTAACCAAAGACCAAAGTGATGGTCACTAAATAAACAGACGGTTGTTAGGAGCTTTGGCGATAACTATGTCGCTTTTAGCAACCATTTTCCACGGTTACAAAGCATACACGGCGTACTACCACAAGCGCGCCTTTGTAGTATTGCACACGCATCAGTCCAGTCCGTCAACATGGGAGAGGCGATCGATGGATTGAGAGCAGTGCAAATTAACTATTACGTTGGCAGAAGAGGCTGCCCGCGTGTCTTAATTTGGCTGCCAAAATATTGAAGGAACTGCGCTTGCTAGCTAGCCTGCCTTGCAGCTCTCTCTCTCGACCTGTTCCATCGATATATATACATGCATGATGATGAATTAATGACGGTTTCTGCTGTATGACGGTAATTAATTACCACTGCCGAGTTATCTTGCATAGCACGTACGTGGGGCTGGTTTCTAGGCTTTCGGTAGCTAGAATGCGCGCGCGCTATGGAAATGAATCGACGCAACGCAGTAAAGGTTTTTTTGGCGTTTTGGTGCTGTCGATCGTCGCCATGCACCGCACCAAGTCTGTCACCATGTGAACCACTCCGGCCGGCCGGCCGGCAGAGGGACCAGCGGGAATTAAAGTGGAATGGCTTTTTGCAGCGGTGGCTTACATAGGATATAATGAGGCTCGTTTGGTAGTGAGATCTTAGTTAAAGGTAAATTGGTGTGTTGTGTAATAAATGGGTTTAGGGTTCAACATCAACAGGGACGTATGTGTGGGGTTGGGACCGTCTGGCCCTCTCTATCATCGTCATTATTGGTTCAAAAATTCATTAAGGGAGTAGCTCAACAAACGCCTAACATATATTAAATTGGGGATCCATGGCGGTCTTTGGAATTTTCTTAATTATTACAGATGCCACAACCACAAGAATCCACCTCCATTTCCTGCCTTTGTTTCTGTCTTTCTCAACCATTTATTGAAATGGGGCCTAATCCTTTTTCTGTCTTCTTTAATTTTTGTGTGGAAAATCACAAGTATTGTGCCCTACCTCATACTTAAATCAACTTAGATGGCTTTGGAACCTTAAATAGTTGAAGTACATACAACTAATATCTTAGTTAACTAACTCAAGGTAATAGTTGAAGTATTTTGACCTACTGACAAAGTGTGCAGAGGAGCTGGATTTCTACCATCAAACCATATCCAAGGTCGTCACATGACATGGAAGTTTGAATGAAGTGTTTGGCTATAACTGAATTATTCAACATAATAACCTTTTTGTTTTAGTAATCTTGAGTTTTCGCACAATTTTAACTAGTTATGTATATGTGAATTTTAACTAGTTGTGTTTTAGGCGATATTAGATCATTCTAGCAAAGATGTCAACCATATCAGCAAAGAGGTAGACCATTTTGTCCAAAGAGGTCGGTCATATTAGTGAAGAGGTCTATCGATATTCTGAGAAGCAAATCAAAACATCAAATTAAACAGTGGAAATAATTATATGAACTAAGAGGCTGATCAACCACTCAAAGTAGAGATCAACCAATTGAGGATACATACATTGAACCAACGTTGTTGACAGTGTGCTCTAAAGAGGTCGATCGGCCTAACATTGTGGTTGACATGTCAACATACATGTACTACACAATCACCTATTTTCTTCTTCACCAAACTCTAAACCTAGAAGAATATGATTATATGAGTGTTTGAATGATAAATATAGAACCTAGCTATATTCTTATTTATAGACGCTTATGCTCAAATTAGATCGGATTAAATGGTAGGAAAGTTCATTTTACTATGAATATCTTACTAGTGTTGGACTTGCAAATCACCATAACAAAGTCATTTTCAAACACAGATAAGGTGTCCCAGCGGTTAATCGTTTGTTGAACATAACAAAATGAAAAATAGTACATATGGTCTACCATTTTAAAAAAGAGGTAGAGCATTTTGCCATAGCAAAGTCCTAATCTTCCTTACCATTTTAGAGAAGAGATCCACTATTTTGTACAAATCACCATAGCAAGTCATAATCTTCCTTATCTCTATTTCCTGAGTAAACTTGATTCATGTAAATTTCCAACTTGTTCTGCAGGATGATGGAACCCCCTCTCACGTTTATTTGGAAAAATTTGTTTCCTTTGTAAATTAGCTTAAGCTATTTTAAAAAAATATCAATCAATAAAATTCTTTGTGGGCCGAAGCGCTAACTTCATTCTGCACATCAACGCTAAACTACGTGAGTCCACTGGGCTCCCGCGAATTACTAAAATGCGCGAGCCCACAATGTAATACAAGGGCTTGGTGCACTTGCCGTCGTCTACAACTACTCGTCGCTAGGGATGGCAATTTTGACCCGACCCGTTTTACCCGACCTGTTTGACCTGTTTTGGGGCGGGTCCGACCCACCCCGTAGGCGGGGCGGGGCGGGCATGGGTAGTCTCATCGACCCGACCTGCCTTGACCCGCCTCATTCTCGACCCGTTCTTGTCTAAATTACATGTAATCTTAGTCAAATTAATTAGAATTTCCTTTCATTGCATCATATTTTAGCTATAATAAAGTTGTAAATTAGTAAAAACTTCAATTTCTCCAATAATTTAACTACAATTGTCATAATGTTGTTTGTTTTCTTAGTCTTATAATAAAAATAACGAATATTTCTAATGTTTTTCATATAAATTGCATACCCATTGGGTCGACCTGCCCCGACCCGCGACCCATGATCAATTACCCGACCTGCCTCGGGGCGGGTCTGGGTACCAAGAAACCCGCCCTGGACCTGCCCCATTGCCATTCCTACTCGTCGCCCGCCGGAGCTCCCTGAGGCTTAAACCCTCTTGACCTAAAACACAAAACAGCTCCACCCGCCATTTTCTCTTCCTGCAAAGTAGTTACCAACCGTACGAATGGGGAGGAAGAAGCCGCAGAAGATAGCTCTGCCACCGGCGCTCCCACCGGAGGTACCGGACGAGGATATCGAAGTCTCCGACGAGGACTTGGAATTCGTCAACGAGAATGTTGATTTCGCCGGGTTCCTCTCAACCTTGGACACCCATACCATCGACAAGTACGCTCTCTCTATTTGGCCATCTATCTCTTTGCGGTTCTGTCAATTGCAGCAACTATCGCTTAATTTTCCTTCTATGCCGTTTGTTCTGAAAGGCATGTGAACCGCGTGGCCGACGCGAAGAAAGTCGGAGAAGACGCACTGGAGGCTGCCTACGAGAAGCGTCTGCAGAAGAACAAGAAGAAGAAGGATACTGAGGAGGAAGAGAAGAGAGTCGAAGTCGAACGCGTTGATGCGCTTCCGGTCAAGTCCTTGGACGGAAAGCTCTATTATAGAACTTGTGCGTGCTCACAATCCACAAATTGCTTTGCTGGAATTGCGTTCCAGTTTTGTTATAATCGGTTTTCATCATCAATGCGTTGAATGCAGTGTCTGAGAAGAAGGCTGATGGTGGAGAGCTCGTGGATGGAGCTGGCGATGATCAGAAGGATATGGGATTGGTGAGGTTGACGAAGGCTGAAAAGAGGGCCAAGCTGAAGAAGAGTAAGAAAGAGGCCAAGAGGCTCGATAATGAAGCTGGAGGGGAGAAAGGAGATGAAGCTCCACAGGCTGCTGTGCTGGTATAGTTCAATTCCTGATTTGTAGCTTCAATGCCAAAGTTAGGAATGTCAGAATGCTTCATTGTTCTGCTATTTTGGCACTCGTATTAATGTGGTTGCTGTCTTTCTCGCGCTTCATAGGCAGAGATTCAGAAGGATCTGTCATCTGAAGAAATCTTCGAAAGTAAGAAACAGAAACTCGCAGAGCTGGGGCTTGCATTGCAGGCTGATCCCGAGGCTAATATAAAGTCTTTGAAAGAAATGATTCAACTCTGCAAAGACCCTAATCCGATCATTGTGAAACTTAGTTTGTTGTCGTTGCTGGCTGTTTACAAAAGTATAATACCTGGGTATCGGATAAGGCTTCCCACTGAGAAGGAGCTTGAAATGAAAGTTTCCAAGGACGTGAAGAAGATGCGATTCTATGAGTCAACACTGTTGTCCACATATAAGGTTTGGCTTTTTCATCTGCTAACTGACTAGTTCTATTAGTAGTTGATTGATTTTGGACACTGTGCTTTGTTGACATTGCTTGGGAGTTCTTGAATTGGTAGAACTATGTTGAGAAATTGTCTAGGCCCAAATTGCTTCGAGCCCAATGTGTTGATTTACGGGGAATATTACTGTGAAATTCATCTAGGTTGCATGTTTTGGTGTACATATTAACAGGGATATCTGCAGCGGCTGGTGACACTTGAGCAGGACCCCAAATTTCAGCATGTTGCTGTTCGTTGTATCTGTGCTTTGCTAGATGCAGCTCCTCACTTCAACTTCTGGCAGAGCTTGTTGAGTGCTGTGGTATCTAGTATAAGTTCTACGGATGATGTTATAAGGTCCTTTTCTTTTTCTCTTCGTCCTGCCACTACCTTGTCTCTCTTCCTGGTTTTTTTATGTGTATATTAATTGTTACTTGTAAGATCCCAAGCTTGAAGCATTCTTTCTTTGCTTGAACAGAAAAGTTAGTTGTGATACCATCAAGTCACTTTTTATGAATGAGGGAAAGCATGGGGGTGAAGCCACTATAGAAGCTGTTCGGATGATTGCTGATCGCGTTAAAGCACTGAACTGCCAAATGCATCCTGATTCTATTGAGGTACGTGATAAATTATCATTCCTTGGTTGCACATGTGATTTCTTAAGTGTGAAACACAATTTGGCAGCATTTTTTAAAATGTATATAGTAAACTAGGTTTACAACAAAGAACTATTTGTCTGTTGTTCCAAGCCTAATTTAGATATATAGGGCTGCTGGAAGTCTTCTCGGATTAAGTTTTTCTTTCAATTTTGTTTCATCCGAATCTTCTGACATACCATTATTCTATTTTCCGGAACATCCTAGGTATTCATGTCATTATCATTCGACGAAGATCTTGTGAAGCCTGATAAAGTTGACGAGGACAAGAAGAAACCCAAGTACAATAAGAATAACAAAAGAAAAAACGCCGAGGACCCAACCCAGGTGCTACAAAATGACAAGAAAAGAAGCAGAAAAGAAATGGTGTCAAAGATGAGAGAAGAGGTACTGTGTAAAATAGCAACTCAATCATATTTAACATACATAGATTTTGTATGATCAACGAGAGGTGCAGATTCAGTGTTCTCTACTGACAACATTGTGGATACTGTGAATGGTTGACTTTAACCAGGTTGCTGCAGATTTTAAGGCTGCAGCCTTCACACCAGATTTTGCTGAGAAGAAGAAAATGCAATCAGAGACGCTCTCTGCTGTCTTTGAGACATACTTCCGGGTCTTAAAACATACAATGCACTCAACTACAACCAGGTCTGTTTTGCGCCCAGCTTGTCTAATTCTTCCTTCCAAATTTCTTGATATTTAGAAGTTTCTGTTCAGCATTGTTTAAACTTTCTCACATGAGTTCTTCTGGTTTTGTTTTTACCTTCGCAGTTCTGAAGTGAGTGGAAATTCTATCAGTGCACATGATCCCCACCCGCTACTTTCTCCTTGCCTCAATGGACTCGGAAAGTATTCACATCTTATCGATCTAGACTACATCGGAGACCTGATGAATTATCTGAAAAGGCTTGCTGGGGCCACCAATGGGCTGATTATCTCTGAACGCCTTCGATGTTGCATAATCGCATTCCGGGTGATGAGGAGCAACCTCGATGCTTTGAACGTTGATTTGCAAGGCTTCTTTGTGCAGCTTTATAATCTCTTACTCGAGTATAGGCCTGGAAGGTAATAATCCCAACTGCTCCTGTTGGCTGATATGTTGGGTACGTTTTCAAGTTTAATTTGATGGTCATTCGTGCTAAACTTCTATTCAGGGATCATGGAGAGGTATTAGCTGAAGCATTCAAGATCATGCTGTGCGACGATAGACATCATGACATGCAGAAGGCTGCTGCATTCGTCAAACGTTTGGCCACGTTCTCCCTATGTTTTGGATCAGCTGAGTCGATGGCTGGTACGCTTCCTCGAATAGTTTTTTTTAACTGAAACCAATCCCACCCATTTTCTGTTTCCACCATTCTTGATTTTTCTCCTTTCGTAGCGTTGGTGACTGTGAGGCATCTACTTCTGAAGAACGTAAAGTGTCGTAACCTGTTGGAAAACGATGCTGGGGGAGGATCAGTCTCCGGAATAGTAGCGGTAAGCTTCATATATATCGAGTATTATTTTCCCCCAAGAATGTATACTTGTTTATTTTTTTTTCCCGTCAAGCTTCTTATTGATTTATATTTGAGCGCAGAGGTATCAGCCTGATGCAACGGATCCCAACTTAAGTGGTGCACTTGCTTCAGTGCTATGGGAACTCAATCTCCTCTCGAGACACTACCACCCAACAATCTCCTCAATTGCTTCGGGGATTGCAAATATGAGCGCCGCTCCAGGCCAAGCAATTCTCCGGATCAATTCTCCTCAACAAGCATATCGAGATCTGTCGCTGGAGAAGGAGGCGTTTGACCTGCAACAGGATGTGGTGAAATCCAGCAACAAGAGGAAGAAGTCCCTTCCCAACGGAGCTTCTGCCAGTACTAGTCTCAAACCAGATATAGCTATGTCGGATTCAGTTGACGAAGAAGAGTTGAGTAGGAAATTCTGTGAGCATTTCAGGGTTCTTGAAGAGATGAAGGAGAATGAGAGTGCGAGGGAGGAGTTGGCTCGGACTAAGGTGGCCCTACAAGCATATGAAGAGTATAAGCAGCGGCGGAAGAACAGAAGTAAGAAACAGGTTAAGACAGTAGTGGCAAAGTAAACTTGTGGGGCGATGCATCGTCGATAAATGATCCCCAAATATTTTGTGGAATGTGGACGAGTTTGATTCCCATGAATTATTGTTTTGTTGTACAAGTAAACATTGTAAAGCAGTTTGCGACAAAGATCACAGCCGGCAAATATGAGATTGCCATTATTAGTATGTAGCTGTAGTAGTCCTGCTGGGGAATGGATCAGTCAGTAACCTTATGGTGAGTAACTAGCTTCCTTCATCAGAACAGAGAAGCCAGTGAGGTGTTGGTTGTAGAATATCCTTCCTAACTAAGATTAAGCAGAGAGAGAAGGAATGTTGATTGAATAACTAGCTTCCTTCATCATATGATCCTTAATTAATGAGGGTTCTCTCCTCTCCTCTCCTCTTTGAATGGTGGTGGGTGCTGGCTTAGCCATGCATGTGATGTGAGAGGATATATCTTCTTCCAAGCTTTTACTTCACATGTTAATCTTAGTGGATTGGATTGGGCCCAATAATGACCATCAAACAACTAATACTCTACAGAACTTCGCAGCATAGTTTTAAGGATGGTTCCTTAATTAGCTTACTGGTGAACTTGATCCAGCCTCTACCTGGCAGATTGACTGACTGACTGACTGACTGACTTTCAAGGTCAACCTCCACCGTCGAAGATTCTCTTGCTACTGCCTCCACGAGAGAGAGAGAGAGAGAGAGAGAGAGAGAGAGAGAGAGAGAGAGAGAGAGAGAGAGAGAGAGAGGGTTAGTTGGGGATGGTGAGATTTGATAGTTGGGGTTTGTTAAGGGGGGAATCAACGTGATGAGCACAACCTCGGCTTTAACTCGATCGTATCCCAAATGCGTATAGCAAGCATGTGATGTGGCCTCGTACTTACTTGTGCCGCAAATCGTGGGGAAATCAGTGGAAAACACAAACTCACCCTTTTTCCTTGTCTCCCCATTTTCACTTTTTACCCTTTTAAGACCATCGAGACCAAAGGATCAAGTTTATAGGCATGCGTACTTGTATACTCTACGTAGTACTAACATAACGTACACGCCCATCTTTGTTTGTATCAATTAAGCGGGGAAAGCACACTCATGTCCATGGTGCTAATAAGTGGGGGTGGGTTTCGCTGCAATTGTATTATGTTTCGCTTTTTTTTCTTTTTAATTGAAGGAATATGTGTTTGTTTTTAGTTAGGTCTTACTTTATTGGAACAAATCCTTTGTTCACTATTACTTTTCATTTATTTCAGAAGCTCATATTTTACTTGGTTAAAATAATATCTAAATCGTTATGTGAAATGCTCAAAAATTTTCATACTCTACATCCATGGTCTGCTCATTCACGATATTGTCACCACAAACATTTTTCAAGGTCCATCAGTATGAATCTGTGGAACCGGACCAACAATGATGAAATCAGGATTTAGAGTAAAAGGGGTGAGGGAACAATGAAAAGTCATATGTCATATCTCTTGGATTTGAACTTGGAACATGCAAGATGGACGGTTGATAGCCTACCATCTTACCACTTTGTCAATGTTTGTATTAAAATACGATTCATATATTATAGAGTGAATCAAATATTAAAAGGAGTACTACAACCCGCCTTAAACTACACATAGCTGCACAATTACCTATTGATCAACCTCTAATATGAATGTATCAATTTTTTTTATCATATTCCCATGGTGGGTATATTCTTATCCTTAATTTTTATTTGTATTTTTAAGATTACGTTAGATAGATAGATAGTCCGTTTTTGTTTTCTTAATGTGGTAGCATTGTTTTACGGGCAGTGTAGTGATAGGCAAACATTTCATCTTATTATTGCATTACATTTCCACATCCAAACGACCCCTAAGTAATTCATATACAAATTGTATATGTTGACCAGTGTCCCAAATAATGTTGAACTTCCCTTCTTATTTTGCATCCATATTAATCCTCTGAAACCGCATATCCTTTTATTTTATGCCTTTATATTTGGTGCGATGTGGCACAATCTCATAGTATACTAATTAGTGTGTAAGTTGATTTTCATCGTCCTCTAATCACAAGGTTAGAGTCCTCCAATAACAAAATTAGACGGTAGAGGTTTAATTATGTCTTATAACAACTGAACTAACTCTATTATCAATCATTTATATGATACATCCGTGATATTATGAATTAACCAAAGAGATTTCAACTATATATAAGAATTCTTAGTAAAACTCTTACAAGGAGTACTCAGAAGTCGAAGCATATTGCAATCGTCTGTGTTACAGATTGAATAATACAACTACGTACAACCCATTATCAAAACATTACATAAAATTATTAAATACCCAAATACGTCCAATCAACATTTTCCGTCTTCCTCTTTTCCGTTTCTTAAGAATCAAGATATAGAAATCCAACCCATGAAAATCCCCTATATCAATTATTTCAAAATTCTATCTTCACAAATGAAATCGAGGTACTTACCTCTTTCATATCATTCTTGATTCTCCTTCCTTCCTAGTCTCATGCATGTAGACATGTAGGAGACGTGTTAACTAAAGAAGTAAAGACCCATTGAAATTATTGATTTTAGAAGGAAAGAAAAACATTATCGTATCATATTTTACAGTTGAATTAATGCCAAATCATATAGTTACCGATAATTGAATCTTATAACTAGAAAATCATAATATAAGCAATAATAATAAAATAGTGTGTATATCTCTGTCACAGTGTGAAACTATGACTGGCCACGTCTATGATCACATATTCATATTATATAATCAAGTCTTGCGTCAACACATTGTGTTAGGAATTATACTTCTCGTATTGAATTTCCAACCCAATTTCTTGACTATACATACAATTTGCCTTATTATTGTAATAACCTTCGAATAATTAACATAACTAATGATTGATACTCTAATATACTTAATTGCCTTCAATTAATTGAATAAATCTGTGGGTTAGCTAGCTCGTTATCATGTGTTCACAAAGGCTGAGCTTAGCTAGCTAGTTTCGCAGATCTAATCATTTAGGGTGTCATGTGACACCACATTTATTTATATGTATATTCTATATGTATTTTTCTGTGGAAATTTCTGTGCTGATTCTAGGTACACTTGATCGAGCCTTTTTCTTTGTTGTTTAGTTTTCGTTGTTAAATACAATTACGAGAGTAACTGAAAAACTATTTTTTTTTATAATGGTAACTGAAAAACTAATTGAAATTCGATCTTCGTTTTCAAATAAACAAAACCTACCATGATCATAACGATACATCAATCACTTGAATAATAAGATTGTAATTAAGAAGGAAAGGAAAAGAAATCGAATCATTCAATATTCAAAATGTGTGCGGTTCAAAAAAAGAAGATATACAAATATAAACCTAACTATTGGCTAATCATAAACATGTAACCCATCAGAAAAAGGACAAAGGAGGAACGATAGATATACGAGTTACTAGGTTTAACCACTGATGATTTTGCATTCACAAGAGTGATAGTTTCCTACCGTTAGTGGCTACAGTACTACTCCATTACACGCATATGCATATAGCTAGGCGCCTTAAATCGATCGAGAATCACGTACCCGAACCCAACTAACACAAAATTGGCGGACTAGGGTATAGTACTTGAGCCCTTACTCTTAGCACAGTTGGGCTACTAGACACATACAACTACAGGCTATACAATTGTGGATAAATATCCATCAATGTATTATATATATACAACCATGTTTAGTATAAATAACACATCCTTTGATTCCTTATAATACATCATCTCAAATCACTGATATGGGAAACTAAAAAAAAACAATGGATTATGATTTGGAAGTGTACGTGTCAGATGGATTTGATTAATTAGACCGTCCATACACATACATTATTATTGTGGGTAGGTCCTCTTATATATAATCTTAATTAGTTGGGATTATTGGGTTGATTATCCTATCTATCAAGCTAGCCCGTGTATTAGCCAGAAACGTCAGTTCAGGCACATCAAGTTGTGGTTGCCACTTAGCTAATTATGCAGCTTGATGATGAGTCATTAACGTCACTTCAACTCAAAGCAATCATGCCTGGTAGTATGTACATATATACAAGCTTAATATACAAAAACATTAGGATACAATCACTAACTACCTTAATCTTCATAGGATATGAAAATGTCCCAAATGCACGTATCGATCAATTTTTCAATCTTTATATTAAGACGAAACGGTTGTTTCACACACACATATATATGATATACACTCTTTTACTGATGAAAAATTGTAAGTTCGAGTACTCATCATATATAAACTCGAACACATCAACTCTTAGTCACCACGAATCATATGTAGTGGAAACTTTACAAACTTCAAAGCTAGTGACTGACCTTCTAAGCCACGAATCATATGTATTGAAATGTTGCCACGTTAAACCTACAGACACAAATTTCAATCAAACAAATTACTAATTACCTAAACAGACAAGAGGGTAAAACTCAAACTTAAACCATAAGATTAAACTAAGCCAGACAGAAGGGAGTACATACAGTACAGAGCTAGAGAGGGGCTCGATGAACCTGAATCTTACCTAACATGTGAGATTAGGTGAGAGTACTTAAGCATGATGAACTGGTCAGATTCATGACTCTTTATAATTAGTCTTGATGATGATTACTGATAATAATAATAATATGATTCGATTGTCATGTCAACAGTATTGTTTCTAGGTGAAGTGTGTGAAGAATTGATCCATTAATTGATTACTACTACTTCTACATAAAAAAAATGTAACATTCACATATGTGGTCACCAATCAATGAGCAATGACGATGATTATGAACTAGAACCAGTCTACCAACAGCTCACCATGTATGAATTTGAACTTTGAAAATAGTGTTTAAGCGGTCCTTGGTCGTTAAAATTACACATTAATTTCATATATGTCGCATTTTTTTTTATTCTGATTCATTAAACTCGTCCCAGGTCGGTCGAAATCCATCCTTTCTCATTTTTAATCAAGTGATGAGTAGAAAAATGCAAAGAAATTAAGCTTACTTACACTACGTCCATAGGTATAGCTAGAAGTTAATGTCAGTACTATTCTCTTACAAATGACTTGTGGTTCAAATTAATAATAATTAATATACTCAATAATTAATTAACCCCAAAGCTTCCATTAGCTTCCGGGGGTCACTGTTTTTCATGTGAGGGGGTCTTTGTAATTTTCTTAATTTTGGCCTTTTACTTCTCCTAAGGAAAAGTTGTATTTACATATATAAAAAATAAAAATATTAATTAAACTGTCTTCTCCTTTGTCCTTTGGAGGCATTCGGGGTCAGTGTAGTGCTAATAAGACGGCTTCTCTTGTATTGTTTGATTTGTAAAAGCACGTAAAAATAAT